TATACTCCTGCCTTTCCTCTTCTCTCTCTGTCTACGAATCCTTCTACCTCCTCTCCTTCTTCGACCAACAGTAGTCCAATTTCTGCCAGCAACCCGTAGGTCAACAGCACTGGTGGCGGTCGTTGTTAACCCAGGCCTTGACCGATTTGGTATGGAATTCACACTGATGATTCGCATGTTTAAATTTGGCATGTTTGCTGGATGCCCTTCCTGACGCAACTCTCTCTATTTATCCGGGCTTGGGACCGGTACGGAAGTCACTGGCTTGCAACCCCTGTGGCTAGATTTTATTGTTCTGAAATAATTGCAGACTACTTGGAGTTATGATGGGTGCAAGCCTAATCTAGAAGTACCCAAGATTAAACATTAAATGGCTGGAAATGAGCATGCCATGGGTTCTGTAATATATCCATGCTGGCAATGTAGCCTACAGCCTGCGCGACATCCATAAAAGAAGAACATTGGACTTCACCTCCCACAATGCTTTGTCTACAATTTAATTGTGACGTAACGTCCGGTGGAGCTGTTGGCGGGCAGAACCATAACGGGAGTGGGTTTAGGGTCATTGTGTGATTCAACAGCAAAGCTTTTTTCAGAAGTGGTTATCCAAAGCACGCCACTAAGACCTTGGATAGTTTTGTGTCACCGCGTGCTCGTCTTTGACCTGTGCCCGTCTGCAGCAGACGTCAAATTTCAGTGCTTTCACTGGGGCCTTCCTCACGCCCATCGCAACATTTTCAGAGAAGGTAAGGCTAATGTTAGCTATTTGCTCAGAGAGAACACGCCGGCCATGTTGCCCTGCGATTGCAGGGACGGGTGGCCAGACTCTTCTCGTTGCACAGATTTAAGTGAATTGCAGCATAACGTTCCTGTGGTCACAGCAGGCAAAACTCAATAGTCCAAACTTGGTCATTTGCGGGGCTGATCAGTAAAGCGCGCGAGACTTCAGGGAGCGCAGGCATGCTGCAAAACGGTGAGCACCATGCTAGGCTCAGCGCTGCTCTTACGAATAGTGGACAGGGCCGTTGGCTTTGTTTGTTGTTACGGTCGTGTCGAATTCATGTTCCCTCTTCTGACAGTGTTTCTGTTCCATTAGACTAGTGTAGAATAGCGCGCATCCCTTTGTTTGGGATAACCACATAGGTGTAGTGCTGCCAGAACGCACCGGGACGACGCTCCGCGACCTTTTCTCCGAAAGAGGAGAAGGAATAGGCCTCCTGTCATAATGTGGCTGACATTCACACAGTTGCAGTATAGTGAGCGCTTGAAAATCCAGTCATCAGTAAAGTGTACGTATTTTACAATGGGATGCTGGAAACATGACCCTGGAAACCAGATACAACTAAACCGTGCGTGTAACAAAATTCGACAACCACATAAACATAACCCTTTACTTTTGGATTTGAAATGCGATGTGTCCACATGTGGACTGTTACATTTACCGACTTGTGTGTGCAGTCCGTAGACCACGCTCTTTGTTGGTTCAGACATTGTGGAGGTTCGTCCTCGCCACAAGTTGTTTAAACGCCACAAGGCAGAAACCAACCGAGAGCACGTGACGAACCGAACGGGGATAGCTGTAGTTTTGTATTGTCGGTGTTTACGAGTGAACAAGAAACCTATTGAGATGTTACTGGTTCGACTGTTAAAATAACGGTATGGTGCATAACCAGCCGCTCACTTCAAGACCACATTCGAAATTGGCGCAATTTATGTAAAAAGCGCTTTCATCAGTTAAACAAGGGGCTGTACCCAGCTAAGGATTTTCAGTCGACTGTCTGCTGAATTTCAGTGATGATTTCGACCACATTTGCAACAGCATTTAAGTGCAATGGAGTGACAGGAACGTATTTATAAGAATTTAAATCAATAAAGACAGCTGCATATGATGCGAGGTTTAAATTGTGACCTATTTAATTTGATATGTATGCTCTCAGGCTGCCTTATGGACTTGTGGGAATAATGAGACGGACAACACACTCGTATTTCTGCTCTTATAGTTCATTTTCCTTCTGAGACATGGTTATAGCCTAGTTTACCAACAAGTTTAAGTTTCTTCCATCAGTTAAACACAGCGCATGTTGTTACTGTTTACTTAACTAAGTTGAGTAATCAAATCAGACTCTCATAGCATTAGGCAATGAAAAACCAACCACATCTTAGCAACAGTCTTTGTAAAAGTAGACCACAGTGTTTGAAAACACCTCTAATAAATTACAAATCTCACCTCTATGTGGCTTGTCCTAGTGGGTTTTGTTGTCCTTTTCTCCTTCTTCTGCAGTTTGCTAAATAGATCTTTGCATTTCCCCAGACCACATGGGAAGTCTTGGGCAAATTGCTGCATGGCACACAAAAATAAGGAGAAGAAGATGACAAACTAACAGAGGCTGGGGCTATCTTCTATTGTAATGCACACTGACTGGCAAAAAATAAAATGTAATAAAATAAGAACAAAGGCTCAACTAAAACACCCTCAGCCGACTGACAGGTCTGATTATTAATGTTCTCAACTATTAGGGGGCATCCTTAGTTAATCACACCAACAGCACAATTTGGGTCCTGCTACTGTTCAGAAATGTCAGTCTGCCGATCCTTGTAGAACACAGTGCATTACAAAAGTTGATGCTGATTGAACTTTTGCTTCAGCAAAGTCCATGTCAAGGGTTCATATTAGGCTTAATACCTTGTTGCGTGCCCCTTGAGCGCATTCAGAAGACAGTTTGGAGTTCTTCACTTTGATATAGTTATATAGATAATACTTTCTAAAATTCTGTTGATCTGTGTGTGAGCATTTAGTGGTTGATAAAAGGTTGGTGGTCTCCTTAATTAGTGTTTGAGCATTATCAAGCTTGTCTTCTGTGTTTTGTACTTGACTGACTGTAGCTGTTGGAGATATGTTGTTTGTTTTTGTTGTTTTTTCTTTTTTTTGCTGTTTCCTTGTTATTGGTAGTACACAAAAGGCACAAAGCATATCAATGCACATGTAGCTTTAGCTCTAGGATTGCCTGCTGCTGGTCAGACCACTAGTTGACATTGAGAGCGTACCTTTATTAGTTTTTTCAGTTTTATTGAAAGAGATGGCTCAGACTGAAGTACTCAGTGTTGGTCCCCTTATTGTCATACGTCAACCCTTCCATCGTCTCAATTCAAGCAGAACATTTGAATATTATACCATGCTGAAGCATAGTTTTCTTAACACTATTTGTCATTCTCTCTGCATGTCTCCTATTGGGTCCACCATAGGAGAGCTCAGCAGACGTCAAGCTGGCGACCGTAGCAGGAAAGAAGGCCAAGAAGGCTGAGGAGGACGAGCAGCCTGCGGCAGCGGGACCGGTAGCGGGAGCAGCAGCAGCACCAGCAAGAGGACCCGGCACCGCTGAGGAGGAGGAAGAAGAGGAGTATGTAGTGGAGAAGGTTTTAGACCGCCGAGTGGTGAAGGGAAAAGTGGAGTTTCTCCTGAAATGGAAGGGATTCTCAGAGTGAGTATAAGTCTGTCTGCTGAAGTAACATTCTTTTTGAACAGTCGGGGTATCATCCCAAATCTGGGTATCATCCCAAATCTGGGTAGTTTTAACTGCCCAGAAACATGTTTTCTAGTGTATTTTGGGGGCCGGGGGTGCAAAAGAAGTATCTAATATATATAAAAGAAAGTTTGATGTTGTTAAAACTCAAAAGTTTAGAATTTTGATGTTAGGTTACAGCTAATAAAAATAGTCTTTTAAACACTGAAAAAAGTAAGTTACAAGAATAAGAAAGACTGGCTTAGGTTTAAACAGAACATCTGCTATTCACGTATGCTTGTCTGCACTCAACTTATCCAGCGAGGATAACACATGGGAACCACAGGAGAACCTGGACTGCCCAGATCTCATCGCAGAGTACATGCAGAAACACAAAGACAAGGAAGAGAAAAAGAAGGAGGGCAAGAGAAAAACTGCCAGTGAGGCCTCGGGAGATTCAGAAGAGCGTGGGAGCAAGAGGAAAAAGGAGGAGGTGAGCAAATGAGAGGGTGCTTCAGACTGAAGAATACCTGCAGCCAGCCAGAGCCCAAAGTGTTGGTTTTTAAGTGGTCATATACATGGGTGAGTCAGTGTTCATTACAGGTCACGTATGCTCTTGCTTATATATTTCCTGTCTCTAGGGTGAAAAGGCCAGAGGTTTTGGCAGAGGTCTGCAGCCAGAGAGGATTATTGGAGCGACGGACTCGAGTGGAGAACTGATGTTCCTCATGAAGTGGTGGGTCTGCATTATCATGTTATTCAGGTCCAGGGAGATAGAATTACTGTTGATTTGGATGATTTTGGAGTTCAACAGTGTGTTCAACACATACAAAATAGACATATGCTAATGGAATATAATTTGGACCTTTTAGGGTATAGGTATACTAGTGAAGATGTCTCGCTCTTAGCTTATTTTTACCCTAGCCATAATCTGGAGAATCTCAAGTGCAAAGCTGTGTGTGCAGCACATCCCCCATCTATACTGGGCTCACCAAACTTACCAAGGGAAACATCAGGCAGGAAATACTGAAGCTGTTCATGTGGTAATGAGAACAAATCAAATGCAGGTTAAAGTCATCTAAGCTCACTGAAAACTCCAAAAAGTCATAGTACAGAATCTGTTTATATATATTTTTTCAAGCTTGTTTTCTCAGAGTAGAATTTTCTTTTTTCTCCAAGCTTTTTCTCACTATAGAATACAAGGTTTCATTAATGCATTTCTACTTTTTGGGGGCCTTAAAACCAGATGGAGTTTGGTTAAATTATTTAATAACATTTCATTTATATAGCACTTTCAAGGAACGCAGATGCTTTTGTAAAAAACAAAACACTAATTAGGTTTAAAAGGACACTTGAAGGCGATAACATGCAGAAAAGACCACAGGTGTATGGGAAAGGCAGGTGGCAGCGGATGTTACAGAGCCCATGGCATGCTTTTCCTTGTTTTCTGACTTGTATACAATGTTACAGTGGGGGTCCCTGATAGACTAGTGGCTAGAATTCAGCGCTCTCACCGCTCCAGCCCAGGTTTGAGTCAGGGTTGCGTCAGGAAGGGCATCTGGCATAAAACACGTGCCAAACTTCACCGTGCGCATTCTCAGTGTGATGATTCACTGGCGTGAGGGAGACAGAGAGAGGAGCTATCTTGTTGGGTTGCTAAAATCTTTTCTTTCTTTTTTTTTTGTGCTACTTTAACAAGCAAGGTATCCAATGACACTTGCTTTTGCCTCCTTTTAAGGATTTGGCGTAAATGTGGCATTCAGTTATCGTTTGCACTGCTACAGCCTTATTCAGGTGGTGCTTTTCCACAAAATTTTGCACCATTTCCCACATTTTCCACATCTCCCTTATAAAATCTTGCAATGTCAGCCACTCACATACCTTGTTCATGCTTCTCGATGATTTCCTTTTTAACTTCCACTGTAATCACCTCCTTTTTCTTACCACCTTTCTTTTCAACCTTTATCTTTTCTTCATCTGGACCATTGTTGCAGTACAGATGTTGACTATACGAGTGAGGCTTGAGAACCATCAGCTCAGTTGTGTTTTGACGCTCGGCAGTCAAAGTGTACGTACTACTCATATTGCAAGACCTCGCTCGTTTATCAAGTTAAAATTTATATTTAAAAAAAACTTTGCTCGTCTTACAAAGCACTCGCAGACCAGGTTACTCGCAAACCAAGGTTTTACTGTTTTTTGGAGTTATGATGGGTGCAAAGCTAATCTAGAGCTACTCAAGATTACACATTAAATGGCTGGAAATGAGCATGCCATGGGTTCTTTAAATTGAATTCTCTGAGGGATAGGAAGCCATTGCTCTTTTTAAAGACTGGTGTGTTGTGGGAACATGAATGGGTGAGTATGTGGACTGCAGCGTTCTGGACATAATGCAGTTTATTGAGTTTTGCAAATAGACTATAGAACATGCTGTTGCAGTAGTCTGGAAGTGACAAAAACATGGATCAGAGTTGTCAGCAGTGAAAACTGTGTTTGTGTGATTCTTTCATATGGTAGTAAATAGAGGACGAAAAGTAAGGGGCCAAGAACCAGACCTGGGTTGACCCCTTGATGAAGAGTGGCAGTAGAGGTAGCGCAGTTGTTGATGCTAATGATTATGATGACATTATCGGAGAGGAGTAGTAACTAGTGGTGCAACGGATCAAAAAAACTCATGGTTCGGATCGGATCATAGTTTTGAGTCACGGATCGGATCAATTTTCGGATCAGTAAAAAAAAAAAAAAAGACAAGACAAAGTTAACTCTCCATTTATTTAAGTATTTTTTGCTGCCCATTAAAAACATTCAACTAAAGACTCATTCCACTCAATTATATAAAAACAAATTAAGGTGCATAGGGCATGATTATTATTTTCTTATTGTGGACAAAATCAAAAACAACTTAAAATACAATTTAAGGTTTTGCTTCTTACTTTGAACATGGAGAGTGAAATAAAAACTATGGTTTATGTCCACATCATCAAAAAAGAATAAAGAAAACAAAGCCGAGCTGAGTTTATAATTTCAATTTTTTTTTTCAGACAAGGTGACAATGTCTCTGACATTTTTCTTTAGGGTTTTGTCTGTTAGTGCAGAGTATATAGCTGCCTGCTGCTCAAGATAACGCTCCAACATATCATAAGTGGAATTCCACCTTGTTGTGACATCATGTATGAGCTTATGAGTGGGCAGCGGTAGCATTTCTTGCTTGGTCTTAAGCACATGAGCAGCTGTTGTGCTTCGGTGGAAGTAGGAAACCACCTTCCTTATCCTCCCAAGTAGGTGGTCCATTTTACTTACAGTGATTCCCTTTTGGGATGCTAAATTAATTGCATGTGCAAAGCACCCTATCTGTGGGCCCAGCCCTGCCTCATTCACTGCATTTATTTGGTTTTTGGCATTATCTGTTGTGACTGGGATATTAGTAATGGGCCTATCTATCCTCCACTCTGCCACTGCTTCCGTCAGTACGTGCGCCAGATTTGTGCCTGTGTGACTGTCATAGATGGGTCAAGTCTGCAGTACAGGGCTTCGTATCTCCCATTCCGCTGTGATGTAATGAGCTGTCACGGTCACGTAGCTCTCTGTTGCCCTGGAGGTCCACCCATATGTAGTTAGGGCAACAGAAGATGCCTGGGACAGTTCAGCCATGACTGCAGACTTTTCCTGCTCATACATATTTGGGACGATCTTTTCACTGACGTGGGTGCACGACGGGATATCATAGCGTGGCACAAGCACATTTATCATATGTTTAAACTCCTTGTTTTGCACAACAGAATATGGCCTCATGTCTGCAGCTATAAAACCCCTAATAGCTTTAGCCCGGTCGGATTGGGCAGCAAAGGGCTTCTTAAATGCCGCTGTAATGAGTGGCTGTTGCACAGCCTTCGTCTTGGCTCCTGTCACACCAGGGTGATGTCGTTTCAAATGAGCAGTCCTGCCCGACATGTTGCCAGTCTCATATGATTTCCTCGTGCCACACAGTTGACAAACTGTGATAGTTTTATCCACCACCCTTTTCCCGTCAATATATTTAACGGGAAAGCCAAAATGCGCCCACCTGTGAGATTTTAGTGAGGCAGGAGGTTTCTCAATCTCCTCTGCTCCTCCGCTTGCGGCGCTACCGCTGGCCATGACTGTCGCTTAACCACGCGCACCATACAATGGAACCCTTTTTTTCTCGAATCTTCGGATCACATGCGTACCGAAACGTGGAGAGGGATCGGTTCGGATCTCGGATCAACAGTGATCCGTTGCACCACTAGTAGTAACTGTGATGTTGGTGGTTGATCAGAGGCGGGACAGATGAATGGAGTGACTCATGGTTTTGAATGGGTTGAGGATGGGTTATAACATTTAAGTTTTGGTGAGCGTGTCGGAAATGCAAAAAAACAATCCTCTGTTTATTATTGAGGTCAAAGTTGAAGGTGTTGTACTGGAGGTGGTTCAGGGCTTCTTTCTCCTTTTTTCTATTGCCATTCCTTGTCCTCCTTTTCCCCCTCTCTCTACTCCCCTTTCTGTCAATTGTTTCTCTGCCACATTTCTCCCCCCTTATACTCTTTGTCTTGAATTCACATTAACAGGAAGAACTCAGATGAGGCTGATCTCGTCCCAGCCAAGGAGGCTAATGTCAAATGTCCCCAGGTGGTCATCTCTTTCTATGAGGAGCGACTGACCTGGCATTCGTACCCCACAGAAGAGGAGGAGAAGAAAGAAGAGGAGAAAAAAGACTAGAGGAGTAAAGGAGGAGGCAGAGGTGGAAAGAGAAAAAGGGGTGGTGTAGAGTTGTAGGATAGTAAATCAGATGTTGAATCAGATTAACTGTTCAGATTAGTAAAATCTTACAGCCACTTTGGCAGCAAAGCTTTGGAATTGAGCTGCCAGCGTAGCTGATAGATGTTAGTTTTCCTGTTGTGGAAGGCGACACGCAGCCTTTGCTCAAAAGATGCTCCCACCTGTATCTCAACTGAAACTGTTGAAGAGGTATGTTGACACAGTCTTTCCTTTGCATCTTTCCCTCACCAAGAACATGTCACTGGATAGGAGTGGGTGCTTTTGTTCTCCTAGTATTGCTGAAGATCGAACTGAATACATTGAAATGACCGGTGACAAGTGCCTGGTGCTGGTAATACAGGACGTTGTCAGATTACATCTTTAATACATGCATTCAGTCACCACTCCTCAATTATTAATCCTGCTTTAAACATGCATCAGGTGAGAAGAAGTGGAAAGAGGACAGTGAAGTGTGGTGGCTTGAAAATGACAAACTTTCCTTTCTGTTTAGTCAGGATAAACTGGGGGGGAACTTGTTTTGAAAGGCAAAGGATTACAAGAATGGGCAAACATTTGGTCTCTTTCAATATTTGTTCTTTGTGCCACCTCAGTTCTCGTTCTTGCTGACACAGCACTGTTCTTCATTTAACTCTCAAACACCAAAAGGCAACTGTAGGTTTGACTCAGACAGGGACAAATTGACGATCAGAGGTTACAGTCTACATGAAATGACCACCAGTCTATTGCTAATGTCCTTTACATGCCAGCCAACCAGCCAGTGTTCAGATATCATGCACTTCTGTGCTCAGAGAGTTCAGTCATTCCAGCTAGGGATGGTGCTACAGCTTGAGCTTTTGAGGACAAAGGTGCTTACTTTCATTACTTGGCTGGCCTACAGTATTTGTTTAATAGGAAGCCAAATAGTCATGTGGTAACAGGGCTAGAAGAATATTTCCAATATTCAGAGGTAGGGAACCTTATAAACGTACAGACTTTGTTTAATCCCTGGCGGCTGTAGCTGGTTTGATCCCCAAACTGCATCTTAGGCTGACTGGTTACCTGCCCAAGTGGCTGGCAGAGTGTACAGATTCGGCAGTAAGAACAGCACCTGGCTGGCTGTAACTTCCACTGAATGATGGGCGCACTGACTTCAGATGAAGAGTTTCATATAACATATTCTCATATAGTAGTTAGTGTTGTACTTGTTCAGGCTCAGTATTGGCAGTGGAAAGAACTACTCCCCGAAGAAGTGGAGATGCCTCGTGACATGTAGAATAGAGGGGAGAAGTGTTGAGAACCAGCTGATGATCATTCAGACAGCCCAGCAGAGCTGCAGGATGCATTTCTGAGAATCTGCAGGTATACTTCTATATTTTTTTATTTTAACCTATCAGAGCACCGCTGTCCTGTTTCCGGAGTTCATCATAGGTAGCATTGTTTTTAAATCAAGCAACTCTAAATTGGCCAGTATTAGCTCATTGCTGAAATGTATAACTATCTGCATATATTAACCCATAAAAGAAAATAAATGGAAATAGAAAAATGCCAAAGATGTTTTCACAGTGTCACAATTTTATAGTTTATAGAGACTAGTGACACATTTATTTTTAGCTGTGGTATGTCCTGCTCGCTATCTTGGTCATAACTGTTCAAAAACAAGATTAAATGAACCCTATCAAAAATGTCTGTTACAGGTTGTGTAAGGAAAATATTTATTGGCTAATATGTTATCGGATTCTTTTAAACTCACAGATGTCAGTGTTGACCTCAAAAGTTCTGTATCAGTTGAGCCCTACTCAGAATGACAGGATGCTTTGAATGACTGGCGTTAACTTTTTCATTTGCAAAGTAGAACTGTTGGTTATGACACTGAGCTGTAGTGACGGGCTTTTCTAATGGGTGATCATCAGACATGTTTTACATCTAACTGAATTTGTGTTGATCTTCAGTACGAGGCTGATATGATTACACAATCAACTAGCTTAGCGAAAAGAACAGTGCAGCTATCAGTGTGGGAACTGTGCAGCTATGTGCTGGTAAATAGTTGCCTGTAGTTTGTACAGTAATTTGCTCTGGCAACCAGTGTGGCACAGAGCCAGCCAACAAGCTTGTTTGGGTGGAGAAAAGTGGGCCTGCCACTAGGTGAAAGTTGCCTGATGTGACTGAGGCTCTGTCATTCAGTAGATATGTGCTCCATAAGAAACTGCAGTTTTAGTGATGGAGGATACAATTGAATATGTGTTAAATGGTCTTTATTCCCATGCCCCTGTTTTTAACTTTCAAACACAGTAAACCACATCATTTGTAGGCTGTATTATTTTGGCTGGCATCAGCCGGGCAACACTCAAAACATTGAGAACATTAAGGAGTTCATGGTTCCTCCTGCAGTTCATCCTATGTGTAACATGTTTTGCTGTTTACAAAAGTAGAACATCAGTCTGATTAATATAATCACATATGAAAGGTCTTTCTTTGTTGCCTGTAACAGTTTGTGCCTTGACTGTTGCCCGGCAGAGCAGCTTTCGATGAATACTGTAATTAAACAAGCAGTTTCCCGTGTCTGCAGACCTGGGCTAGCTAGTTCAAATTCGCTCTCTGTATTCTTTGGTTGCCCATTTGCTGCTTATTGTAGTACACCTAAATTCATTTCCATTGAACATTGTTGTTCTGCTTCAGTTTGCACTGGTTCATTACCACAAACAGCAGCTATTTTTTAAATATTTACTTTTCTTACAGAATTTTATTTTGATACACTAACTGCCAGTGACATGGAAGGGAGACACCAACTTAAAGCAGTAAGCTACATAAGTTCAGTTTTTAAAACGAGCAGCCCTGACATACTGGATAAGCATAGATTCTGCTGCTGTTCATACAGAAAGGCAAGACCACGGATATATAAACTTGCCTGAATCATGGGTGAGGAACATTTTAGAGGAAGTTGACTCAACTGTAAATACAGTTTCTAGCATTTGAAGTCAAACTCCTGACTCTAAGATAGCTGTGCTAATTGCCAAGGTCGTTTTCCATCTCTGTCGGGTCTAATCCTACCAATTCCACTTGTCCAGTGTCCTAGAATATTTGAGACGCTCCTGTTTGTCCACTGTGTACATCAGTATTAAAATGCCCTGCTCCCTAAATGCCTTCTGCTCACTTCACAGTTGACAGTAAGGGATTGAATTAGCTTCACTGGGGTCTGCTTGCTTTTTCTATCTGGTCTCTGATACTTTTCATTGTAATTAGTGGGTTAGCTTGTGTCGTCCTGTTGCATGTATGTTGTTTTCACTTGGAATGTCACTGTCATGACTGATCTACTTTTAATTATCTGCTGTGGACAAATAAAGGTGTCTTGTTTTCATAAGTTTGTGCTTTGGTGGCTCAGTCCTTATTATTTCACAGTGGAAGAGACATCACCACAGCTCAGTGTTTGGGAGTCATGTGATTGCTGTAAGCAATGTATAAATGACTTATTTTGTGCTGCCAATGGCTGCTTACAATCAAACTGATGTTTTCAAAACAAGTATACCACCTTATCAAAAAGCTCCTGCTTATTATTGTGCATGCGATTGTGCTAGCTGTTCCTACAAAACCCAGAATTCCCCATTAAGGCATTGTGGGATCTGCTCTGAGCATTAGAAAGAAAATCAGATTCAAACACTTGATAAGACTAACATTACACATGCAGCAATGCTTTGAAAGTGGTGCAGCTTGTCTTTTTAAAACTTAATACTGCACATAGCTATATATGGATTCTGCTGTTCAATGTAAAGGAGAGAGGAAACTTAGCTGATTTCAAAGACATTTATTTTTTCTATTTTTAAATATTGCAAAGGATGAGGTCCCAAGTCACTGAACTCCAGCAATTAACATTGGGCATCTACAAAATGTAAACTCTTAATAAAAGCTTGTTCCATCAGTGGTACAGCAGTGATAGGCATGCAGTTTAGAAAAGTCACACACACATTCAACTGTTGGAAAAAGCAGGAATTTGGTGGAAACATTTCACTGCTTTTCTTAGCCATATAAAGGACACGGGTATATACATTATCTGGCATGTGAAACACTGAACACCTAAAACCAATCTAACGACAAACTTACAAATCAACAAACTGAATCATTAAATATGTGCTCCGACCACACAGGTAAAAAAAAAAATTAGCATATTCTTCTGTGGGTTTTTATTCCTGAGGAATTGTAAAGTCATTTCACTGACACTTGAACACACAAAGTCTTTTGTCATTTGCAGCATGGGTTCATCTAAACCACTATTTACGAACAGAAGACCTAACTACAATCTAGGATTCTAAACTAGGTCAAATCTAACCATGTCATTCTTGGCATCAAGAGTTCAAACTGCTGCCATGTCTAAATCCACATATCAGACTAAGAGTACTGTCTTGCCCAGGTACATAAGGTGACAAGTGAAGGGAAACACCAACTTAGAGTCTAAGGTTCTGGGCCACCACAACAGCTTCAGTGCTCCCTGGCATTGACTCTCAAGTCTGAACTCTACTGGAGGGATGAACACCATTCTTCCAAAAGATATTCCCTCAGGTGGTCTTTTGATGATGGCGGTGGAGACACTAACACATCGCTCCAAAATCTCCCATAGCTCTTCAAATGAGTTTAGATCTGGTGACTGTGAAGATGGATGAATATGATTCACATCATTTTCATCCTCATCAAACCATTCGATGACCCCATGTGCCCTTTGGATGGGGCACTGTCATCCTGCAGGAGACCATTCAGTTATTTAGGTTTTTCCCTTTAGTTTGTCACCCATCTCTGTGTGCACAACTACCAGACGATGACATGCTAGCAAAATAGATTTGAGAAATCTAAGATAAGTCAAAGCGAGGCTTGACCTAGTCTACTAAGTGCATCCTGCTTAATACGTTTCATGAAGGCTAAGCCAGTGTCTCATTAGGCATTACATGTCTTCAAAGGCCAAATCTGTTCTTTCTACTGAATGGATTCAAGGTGCATTCATATGTGTAGTATTTGTGGCATTTTACATACATTTCCAGTCCTAAAACGTTAATACCTTAACAGCTTAGTGGTTTCTGTTTAGCCCATGTATTAAAAACCTGTCAAGAGTGATGGTGGGTGTCGGCCTGTGTTTTGAATTTAGGCAGTGGGCAAAGCTACCCTTTAGTTACTGTACATCTGAAACACAGATTACCACCAGTTTATGTGAAATTGACAAGAAGACCTCCCCTGTTGACTCAGGAGGTGAAATCACCAGTGTGTGAGTGTGTGTGAACATTTGTGTGTGGGAATGGGTGAACAGGCAAATAGTGTAAAGCGCTTTGAGTGTGCTTCTGTGCATAGAAAAGTGCTATATAAGTGCATTTACCATATCAGTTAAAGGCACAGGTAAAAACCCATTGCTGTCATACCTAAATAAAAAAATGCTACAGGCACCAGAGGTTAGTGGAGTCATAAGTTAATCAATGTATAACAAAGCCTTAAAAATTGGCACATTTTGCTTTCTGCTCCAATACTTTATACCAGAACATAGAGGGGAGGGGTACTTTATGAAATCAACAGTCCCATAGCCATGCCTGCTTCCTGCCATGAGTGGCCAGGTATGCACAGGTGTGAAAATGAGCAGAGTTCCAAAGGCCCAATTCACCAAATACTTTATATTTGTACTTCCATCACAACTGTCCTTCCTGTGTTCCAGCAACTTTTCTAAAAGCGATTCTAGTGTCTGTGACAGTTTGGCTGAATAAGTAGACAATCCAGCCTGGCATCAGTCTGCTGACTTTTTGAATATTTTCAGTATGCTGGGGCAGCTGATGTAAGAGAAAGTAGTACTGGCCCTGGGTTATCCATTGTCTGTTCTTTTAATTCCACCAAGTACTAGTAGCCCAAATTTACCTCAGTGTTACTTAATAACAAGAATTGGATTCAAGTCTTTTTCCAGTGTAAGTTTTTTTTTTTTTTTTAATAATTAAGGTTATTTTATCAGTCATTATGATAATTAACACCCTCTTTCCAGTAACTCCTTTTTGTTCTGTCTTGATTTTCTCTGTACATTTACCACACTCCTTTTAAGGAATTCCTTTATTCTCCCTACATTTGTCCCAAACTACTGTGATGAGACTGTCCAACTCTTCACTTTTTCTTATCTCTGTTTCTTGCTGTTTTGTGCTCCAGGCAGCAATGCCCCTTGTTGGCGTAAAGATACTGTGACGCTACCATCAGGCCCAAAATTAAGCAGGTACTCTGTAGTGTCCAGAGGCCTTCCATTCTTATCCCTTAGCCTGGAAAAGACTTCCTGGTACAAGCTGGCCAGGCGGCGTTTCATTTCCTGCAGGTTCCTCAGCTTTTCCTGTTTCTCTCTCAACAGCCGTGAATGCTGGCGCCTCAATTTGGACACATCTTCCTCCAGTCCCACCAGCACATCTATTTTCCTCTTTCTGCAGTTCTGGGCAGCTATCTTGTTCTTACCACGGCGTCGTATGTCCCTGACGAGGGTGAGCTGATCCTCATCAAGTTGGCAATTGATCAGTAGGTCATTAAAGTCCTCCACTGGCAGATTAACAATCAGCTCATTGGAGAAAGGAATCTTTAGGGCTCGTGCACGCTGTTCATCTTGGCTCCACATTTCGGTCTCAGACATGCGTCTGGCATTGTGGTATGGCCTTGCATTGTCTCGTAGGGAGGATTTTGCATGTTTGGTGGGCATCTTGCCCAGGGATGGAGAGGAATAAGGGTGGTTGTATGTGTGATCATGGTCAATATGCTCCAGCCGAGGAAAGCCTTTAACCAGCCTGTGATTGTTATAGTTGGCAGGGAATAGTTTAACATCTTCAGGATACCCTCCACCTACTGCTCCCACCTCCACCTCCTCTTCCTCCTGCTTTATGGTCACCTCCACTTCCATTTCTGAACCAAATAACCCTTCCTCAGTAGCATCATCCACATCTCTGGAGAAGGGCCTTCCCACAGTTGATGCACAAGATGACAAGGAGTCTGATGAAGAGGAGGAGGAAGCAGAATAAGAGGAGGCCTCAGAAGTGCTTGGAGAAGCAGGGCTGTGGCTGAAGTCCAGAGAAAGGCCAGAGTCTGAGTCTGCCTCATCCTCAAGGCCTATGAGTTGAGAACAAAGGTAGATCAAGGTAAGGTCCACAGTTTTACACTTGAATTTAACATTACTATGTTCTTGAAAGAAAAGTACATAATTGTATATTTATTAAAGTACTAACCACCAAAAAAGGTTTATTGTCTACTTGTTTAATTACCTTGCTGATGTCTTCTTGGCTGACTCTGATCTTCTGTGACTGCCATGCTAGATACTGAATGGTTGCCATTCTTCTCTTGTGCTATTTCATGGTCAGGGTAGCCCTCTGCATCCAGCCTGGCTGCCATCTCAGTACTGAACCCTTCCTCCAGAACCAGGTCCAACAATTTAATATCATCCAAGATGGCTTCATCATCTATGAGATCACTAAGTGGGCTGTGGAGACCATCTACATCCTCAATATTCTCCTCGTTGTCAACAAGAAAGACACTGGAACGAGATGTGAGAAGGTCTTGGGTCACATCATTCTCATCCAGAGATGTGGCATAACTAGAAAGTGTCAAGTAATGCCTGTTAACATCAAACCTGGTGAGATTTGCAGGGTAAGGACGGCCTTCCATGTTATCTACAAGAGCTTCATCTGGCAGGTTATTGTTGAAGGAATTCAAATTATCTCCCGCATTTAGTCTCCTGAAGAAATCTTCTGACAAGAGATTCATGTGATCTGGATGACTGTGCAAGGTATTTACATTGGAGTTTTTCAAAGTGTCCCTTGTGTCGAAGGCTGAAATGTGGTCATCCAGCTCTGCGCTGGGGGTAAGGGGAAGAAGGGCTTGCTCTGGCTGTCCTAGAGACCCCAACAAACCTGAAGAAAAAGAGCATGTATTTTTTGCAAAATGTAAAGAATTGTAGGGCATGCAACAGTGCTTTTGGTATGATCATTCATGGAACATTAAGGAGATAAGAAAAACATTATTGTTTATTTTGAATACTTATGAGAATATATTAATCTTATTTGACCGTTTTAAAGGGTCTCATAAGTCATTAAAACACCTAGTGTTTTATATCAATAATTTAACTAAAAGGAGAGGGATCAAGATATTCAACATTTGCAATTATTTTTGAAGACCTTAGCCGAAAATATTTTCAACTCAAGGTCTAACTTTCTTCTTTCTGAAGCGTTCAACCACATCTCATGGCTACCCGGTAGACAGAGTTCTCCCAGAGATGGTTTAGATGCTATCACATGGCCTTCGTATGAATTTTCAGTAACGTGACGACTAAAACATCTGCATGACAAATGAACAGCTATATCTTTTGAGGAAGGCATATAAGATGTGGTGGAAAGCTTCAGAAACAACAAGTTAGTAGGATCTTCTGTTGAAAATATCTTTATCAATCAATCAACTATCACCAAGGTTTGAAATCAACCTTGGTGATAATGTTGTTGAAATTTATGGATACTAATCATGAATTCATTCAACAACATCAGCTTTTACACTGAATTACCATGCTGCAGGGGAGTCCCCATTAGATGGACCTCCTGACCAACCTCTCCTATACCGTTGTCAAGGTTATTGGCGTTTTGGTGCAGAGCTTCAGACCCAACCCCCAGAAAAGTTCCAGATGGTCTTGAATCCAACGTATGGTCAAAAGAAGTCATGTCAACATCTGTGTTCTGGACAGGAAGGATGCAAAATTGATCCAGATTTATTGTAGAACTTACTCATCCCATCTTATTTTTTCTTTTGCTAAATGTAATTTCATCTACTTTTATTCTACCAGTTACCTCAGGCTCCATGATGGAGAACAGGTCCTGCCAGTGCAGCTCCAGATTCAAGGAGAGGTTATCAGTGGAGATGATGGGGGATGGCAGGGCCTCCGCATCTAGGGGGTGCTCGTCTAGGTCTCCCTCTCTGCTGCCCACATCACTTAACTGATGAACATGAAAGCAGGTAAATGCTAAGTACTGTTCAGGCTCAAGGAAAAACAATAGAACGGAATGAGATATGAAGAGATTGCTGTGGCAGTACCTGTTGTTCCTCTGTGAAAGGCAGTGTTTCTTCCAGCAGCCTTAAACACTCTTCAAGGGAGAAAGAAGTCTGAAAATAGTGAGAGAGGAGATCAACAGAGGCAGGGGGGTAAAGAGAGCAAAAGAACACAGTCATTAGGAAACTCTAGGAAAGTCAGGGGATATCCACTGTCAAAGAGAGCAGAGACAGATCTGACAGTATTCTAATAATATAGTAATCCTTGGTTCTTGTATTTTAATTAGATAATGTTTTATGTGTGTGTGTGTGTGTAAGTAACAGAATAGATGTTAGAAAGATATTTTAACAGCAGAAAGTACTGAATCATAGTGGTAGTATGGGGCTTTGTGCTGAATTAATGGCATGCAAGAGGGAGGTCTGCAGGTAACTCAGGTTCAGGTTCATGGTAGTTAATTACTGGGTGAATGTCTCTATCTGAAAACTTCAAGCAGTGTTTGAAGTTCTAACTGATTTCAAAATAGCCACCTGAGAGGTTAAACTATGTTCCTAAATCCAGGGGTTAGCAAATTGTGGCTTTCCAACACCACATAATCCTAATCCAATGGTCTGGTTTAAAATGGTAGCCCGCTTTACCAATTCACTGATCATCATCCCTGGAATTATGCTGGTTGTCATTGGTCTCTTTCTTGCTCTGACAGAATACAAATGGTGTTTCCCTAGAGAAGTTATTGTAGTTTGATATTTTAACATTTGATAAAGAAAAAAACTGTTATTACAATCAGATTAAGACCAGGTGTGAATATTAGTGGTCAGTCTTTTGCTATGTTATGCAGGAACTGACACGCTTCCAGTCGTGTATTATTTGTCCCTTTACCAAGTTTCAGTCTGGCCCACCACCAAGCAGCACCATGTGGAAAATGTAGATTCTAGGTGGCAGAATTCTTTTCCACTTAAGAGCCGTCCTAAAAACAAGGGTCAGAGCTACAACTTGTGTGTCCCATATCTGATATCTTTAAATGCCACTGTGAAATGTGAAGTAGGTACAGTACTCGGAAGGTGTATTTTTTAATAGTTTTTGGACAAAAATGGAGGTCTCCCACACAGTGCACTAAGCTAAAACAGGGTCTGCATTCAAAGACATTATGGTGAGCACAATGTCACTGCTGGTTTTAGACTCTCGGACAGTTGGTGTGAAATGATAAATAGTCCCAGTCAGAGGTCAGGTCTGAAATTTTCCTGTTTTCTTTCTGCACTACTGCTGAACAAGGAAGCTCCTAACGTATTTGTGTATATTTGTTCATATGTATGCCTCTGCCTTGTATGTGAGTGTATGGTTTATGCAGTAAACAGGAGGGATTGCAAAACTGCATGGTATAAGTGCGTGTCAGGACAGGCCAGCGATCACGTTTCAAAACAAGCCAGTCAGTCACAAGGTCGGGAGAAAGCTAATATAGTGGTTTGTGTTTGTGTGTACACGTGCCATTTGATACACAGGGGAAATACAGAAGAACTTCTATTCACTTTCAGTTTGAAGAAGACAGGGCAGCAGAATGGGGTGCACTTAGATCTCTATGTACTATATCAGGTTTTTAATGTCCTCTGTGTGTGGCTAGTGTACACATGTCCATCCTGCAGTAGAATGACTCTGAGCTTCAGCTGTAGCTCCCAATAAAACAGACTCAAATTTGAAGAAACTAATTAAAACACAAAATTACCTAACTAAAATATGTATTTGAATATGTCGCACTATCTGCCTTATTGATGCCTGTTCAAGATATGTCAAGTTGATGCTGTCATTCTAAACTGAAGGGAAGTTGGGTAACACTGTGTACATACACACACACACCCTTGTTTTCGCCACTTACTGGGTCCCTATATAGACTTACATTCATTTTCATGAGACTTACCCTAATTGTAACCAAAGTCACTACTTGCCTAACCTAAACCCTTACCCTAACACTTAACCAAAGCTAACATTTATTTTTTCCCCCCCCCCACCCCAAACACACACAGTTTAAAGAAACAGCCAGTTGCTTTTCTTGACACTGGAAACCTTGACACACTGCTGCACATGACTGTTACACAGTGTGTGTACTTGTATGGCCAGCAGTGTGAGGACCAGTTTAATTTTTAAACCATGGGCATGAGGACATTTTGGGAAAGTGAGAACATTTTGGCTGGCCCTCACTTTCCCAGACCCTTTCAATGGGCTGTTTAAGGGTCAAGACTTGGTTTTAGAGTTAAGGTTAGAATTAGGTTTAGGTTAGGCTAGGTGTTAGGTGAAGGGTTGTTGTTAGGCACTTAGTTGTGAAGGCAAAGATTAGGTTAGGAGCTAGGTAATGCATTATGTCAATGAATGTTCTCACAAAGACACAGTATCTGTACAAACATGCTTGTATGTGTCCAACACATGCAGACCAATACCTGGGCTATTTATAAATGGTACAGTGTGACAGCACCGGTGTTGTGTCTCAGTGTGTGTGTGTGTCTTTTGGTTCTGTTATGTCACAATTTAGCATGTGATCCTACATGAAGTGATGTTTATACCTTTCTAGTGATTATGAATCATGACATCAATGTTGATTAAATCTAAAATGTAATGTAAATGATACCACTGTGTGTTTTTTTATTTTGCACCCTTCTTTGCATAGTCCTAGAGAAACATTTGCATCTACTATCATAATTCCTGCCCAACCCCTTTACATCCAGCTTCAGTATGTAAAGTATTTGCTTATCTCTATGAACTGTAAATGTCAGCGCCCAAAGTGGCTCCTTTAACTATTTTAGACATCCCTCCATGCATGATGAGTTCCAGAAATTGTTTTCATTTTCAGTCAGGTAATGTAGGTGTGTCTTATGGGACAAAACTTGCTCACAAAAATCAGTGGTGTTCCCCCATGTCAAAGGCGCAGAGATCATGAGCAGATTTCACATATCCATATTTTCAAATTCTTTGGGCTCTATAGTGGCAGCCTTTTAATGTGTATTGATTGTAAAACACAAAGTTAACACTAATGGACCACTGCTACACAGCAATAAAACACGCCTAAACTGCACAGACTGAAGTGTATTTGAGGCTGTGTCTACAGACCAGGATCAACTCAATGACACTGTGACATCATACATCAGCATTTGTGAGGACATGTGTGTGCCCACCAAAACCTTCTGCAAATACAACAACAACAACAAGCCCTGGTTCACAGCTAAGCTCAGGCAGCTTCACAGTGCCAGAGAGGGGATAGGAACCGGCACATGCAGGCCAGAAAGACGGAAAAAAGAGGTCTGGAAAGCAATGAGGAGTTATTCCGACAAACTGGAGAAACAGACCTCAACCAACGACCTTGCCAGTGTATTGTTAGGTATTTTTGCCTGTGTGCATGTTGGAGGTGGAAGATACCTGAGCGTGTAATGTTAATTTTTACCTGTGTTCATGGAATAAATCAGCACTGTTTTGTAGTTACTTGGACTGCCTCATCTCTTAGAGTTAGCATGGCTAAAAAGAACCGGAAGACTTCAGTATGAAGAAACCTACAGAAAATTATTGGTTACAGGAAACATCCCCCCTTGCTGTGGACAGACAAGTTGAATGAGAGTAGAACTCCATACCCCTCCCCCACCTCATCTTAGACCCATAACTGACAGTTGCTCCCTCCCATCCCCCCAGCGACAATCTGTGAAGAGGCTGTATGAAGCCTCTTTAAAAAACAAAAGACAGCATCACCCCCTCCTGCCTGAAAGCCTGTGGTGTACATCCGGCTCCCATCTTCACACAGATATTCAGTAGATCAGTAGAACATTACAAAGTCCCCTCTTGCTTCAAATGCTCCAGCATTATCCCAGTCCCCAAGAAACCCACCATCAACAGACTGAATGACTACACACCTGTCATCCTGACGTCTGTGGTCATGAAGTGCTTAGAAAGATTGGTGTTGGCCCACATGAAGGACATCATAGACCCCCTGTAGTTTGCCTACCAGACAAATGATGATGATGACAGATGATGCAGTCATCCTGCACCACCTAAATGCCCGAGGAACCTATGCACGGGGCCACTTTGTGGACTTCAGCTTAGCATTCAGCACCATCAGCCTGCACATCCTCCACTCTAAACTGACCCAACTCATTGTGCCTGCCCCCCACCTGTCAGTGGAACACCAGCTTTCTGATAGACAGGAAGCAGCAGGTGAGGCTGGGGAAAACCACATCCAGCACCCGGACTGTCAGCACAGGTGCCCCCCAGGGATGTGTGCTTTTCCCATTGATCTTCTCCCTCTACACTAATGACTGTACCTCAAGGGACCCCTCTTTAAGACTCCTCCAGTTGACACGATGATTGGTCTCATCTGTGATGGCAATGAGTCAGTGTACAGACAGAAAGTTGAAAAGCTGGCCCTGTGGGGTGGTCGTAACTGAACACACTCAAAACAGTGGCGATGACAACGGACTTCAGGAGCCCCCCACCCTACTCCCCCTCACCATACTCAGCAGCACTGTATCAGCAGTGGAGTCCTTTGAGTTCCTGGGCTTCACTGTCTCCCAGGGCATGAAGTGGACGTCCAACATCAGCACCATCATCAAGAAGGCACAGCAGAGGATGTACTTCCTGCACCAGCTCAGGAAGTTTAACTTGCCCCAGGAGCTGATGATACACCTCTACAGAGGAACCATCAAGTCTGTTCTCTGCTCTTCCATCACTATCTGGTTTGATTCAGCAACCCATCAGGACAGGAACAGACTCCAGTGGACAGTCAGGACAGCAGAAGGAATCATCGGATCAAGCCTGCCCTCCATGGAGGACCTGTACACCTCACGGGCCATAAGGAGGGCAGAGAAGATTTCTGCAGACTCCTCACATCTCAGACATAAACTGTTTGATCCTCTGCCCTCTGGGTGGTGATAGAGAACACTATAGGCCAAAACAACCAGACACAAGGACAGTTTCTTCCTCTGCACCATCACTCTGATTAACAAATACCTATGACTGAGGCAATAAGACTCAGCAACTACCGCAGTGCAATAATTGTAAATAGTACCATGCCATGCACCAGTCTGATAACTCAAAATGAATATGCATATACAGGATGTATATAATGTTCATGAATAGTGCCTCTCCTCCTCCTCCCACACTTCCCCTACCTTTGACTGCACTATTACATTGTCTGTTGCCTAAACTACACTGACAGCCCCTGTGCAGGAGATGAATTCCTTGTATGCTCAACATACTTGGCGATTAAAGCCGATTCTGATTTCTTCAGACATTTTTCACTCCGAATTTTTGCTACTGAAAGCAGCTGCCTGCTGCCCCAGAAGTCATGCTGAGAATACTGAGATTCAACCAAAGCTTTTTTTTTGCATAAAACAAAAACAAAGTGCTGAAAGGTGCTACAACACTGGACAGAGGGAAACTACACAGCTGGGTGATTATTTTTTGCGACTCATCACTATGAATGACAGTCAAAATAGTGATCAGTGTGAGCTTTGCAGAGACAGGCTGCAATAGCTACATTTGGATGGTAAGAAAATAATCCTTTTTTTCCTCTGATGTTCGGATCTTATTCTTTGCTGTTCACATTAGGTTTGACAAATGAGGTTGGTGCGGACAACCAGCAGTAACCAAACTGCTGAACTAGAAGCACAGTGCTATGTCTGTGTTTATTCAACAGGTGTAGTCTCTCCAGCAGGGCATTTCAACTGTACTGACTATTGCTCTCTTTTCCTGGTGAGGTCATCAGTGCTGTGGTGAAGTTTCCTAGTGACTCATCTAACTGTGAGTCATTAGCTCACATGACATTACATTACAGTCTGTTTTGGTGACAGACAAAAACAAAAACAGCAGTCCTGTCCCCACATCTGATTCTTACATTTTACATGTTAATAAACAGTAGAATCTTCAGTTGATCTTTATACAATTACTTCTGTGGCATTTTTTGTAGGTCAGTAGTCTACAAACAGGCTTTCTAATTCGTTACACACTCCATGCCGTTCGGCTGTGGACACCAAATCATGTCGACTCCTAGAAACAACTATTTTAGTGCCATGATGTCACCTAATGACACTGGAGGGCCCCTTTGTTAAAAATCAGTATGGTGGCACTGTCACTGTGAACATGTGGAAATTAGCATTTAGCTCATATGACAATCTTGTTCATTTACAGTCCAGATCAAAAGTATTTGGACAGTTACACACTTTTTGTTCTTCAGGTTCTGTTTCAGAAATTTCAATTTGAAATTAAATATTTGATATTAGATTAAAAAGTCTCAGCTTCGGTTTACATCATTATAGAAAGATACCCTATTTGCAATTATTGGTTCAAGAAATGACACCTTATCTTTAATTAATGTACTGTGATTGTACCATAACACATTTTGGATTGAATCACGTGTTTGTGGTTGATTGTATTGGTGCCGATAGCTTAATATGATCTGTTCTAAAAACCCTGATAGGCAAGTAAAAAACTTTCTCTCTGTCATAACAAACTGAGAGGCAGTTACCTGAAGGGAAGGACAAAGTTTTAATATGGAAAAAGGATGAACAGACATCAATAATTTTGCTGAGAAATAGGGCAGATTGAAAATAAATGTCTGTATAGCAGATGCTTTTAGTGCAAAGGTGAGTGCTTACAGTAAGATTAAATAATTTGCGATCCCTTGCTTGAAATCAGTGTATAGACATACCCTTTTCATTTTGTCAGGCTTGCAATCCCATATACAACGGAATATTCTTTGATCATATTTTTTTAAATATTTCTTTTCCTGAGGAGGGAAATGACATAACATATAGATAAACATTCCCAATTTATAGAAACTAATTTGACCCGCCTACTGAGAGCATTGATTCAAAAATTCGACTCAGCACTGCTGTAACTCAGCGCTAAGAGTTGTAGTGTTAGTCATTTCAGTCTTGGCAAAACATATATATATATACAGTGCCTTGCGAAAGTATTCGGCCCCCTTGAACTTTGCGACCTTTTGCCACATTTCAGGCTTCAAACATAAAGATATAAAACTGTAATTTTTTGTGAAGAATCAACAACAAGTGGGACACAATCATGAAGTGGAACGAAATTTATTGGATATTTCAAACGTTTTTAACAAATAAAAAACTGAAAAATTGGGCGTGCAAAATTATTCAGCCCCCTTAAGTTAATACTTTGTAGCGCCACCTTTTGCTGCGATTACAGCTGTAAGTCACTTGGGGTATGTCTCTATCAGTTTTGCACATCAAGAGACTGAAATTTTTGCCCATTCCGCCTTGCAAAACAGCTCGAGCTCAGTGAGGTTGGATAGAGAGCGTTTGTGAACAGCAGTTTTCAGTTCTTTCCACAGATTCTCGATTGGATTCAGGTCTGGACTTTGACTTGGCCATTCTAACACCTGGATATGTTTATTTGTGAACCATTCCATTGTAGATTTGGCTTTATGTTTTGGATCATTGTCTTGTTGGAAGACAAATCTCCGTCCCAGTCTCAGGTCTGTTGCAGACTCCATCAGGTTTCCTTCCAGAATGGTCCTGTATTTGGCTCCATCCATCTTCCCATCAATTTTAACCATCTTCCCTGCCCCTGCTGAAGAAAAGCAGGCCCAAACCAGGATGCTGCCACCACCATGTTTGACAGTGGGGATGGTGTGTTCAAGGTGATGAGCTGTGTTGCTTTTACGCCAAACATAACATTTTGCATTGTTGCCAAAAAGTTCGATTTTGGTTTCATCTGACCAGAGCACCTTCTTCCACATGTTTGGTGCGTCTCCCAGGTGGCTTGTGGCAAACTTTAAACGACACTTTTTATGGATATCTTTAAGAAATGGCTTTCTTCTTGCCACTCTTCCATAAAGGCCAGATTTGTGCAGTATACGACTGATTGTTGTCCTATGGACAGAGTCTCCCACCTCAGCTGATGCTACATAAGAACATGGCAAAGCACAGACCCTTAGTACCCTAAACCAGACAATGTTGTTGAAGCAACTGTACCTCTTTATCATCTTCCTCCTCCTCTTCCTGCATGTTACCAAGTCTAGCTGTGGGCTCCACGGGCTGACCAGCTAGAGCTCTCTCTACCCCTGCAGGAGCTCTCTCCAGTGGGAAGGGCTGGTTTGGACATCCCATGGGGAGAGGATCTGGCTCCCTGTGGACCAACCATGTCTCCAGCTCTACTTGAGGAACCTGTGGAGACAGGTATGAAACACATTTTCTCCATATAAGCTACATGCCAGGGATATAGCCACAGCCTGTTAGCTTAGCTTAGCACAAAGACTAGCCTGGCTGCAGTTAGCCTGGCTCTGTCCATAGGTAACAAAATCCACCAACCTGTACCTCTAAAGCTCACAAACTGACATATTATAATATACAGTACATCAATTTAATTTGTTCAAAAATCCAAGTGTAACAATGATCAGCTGAAGTTTTATGGGATGTTTTTTTGTACACATTAAACAAACTACATATAACAAGTTAATTAATGAGCTTTACAACTGCTGGTAGTCAAATTTTGTTACTTTTGGAAAGAGTCAGGCTCGCTGTTTCCACTCTTTATGCTAAGCTAAACTAACCAGGTGGTGGGTGTAGTCTCATATTAAATGAACAGAAAAAATGCAATATCTAACTACTTCTTTCACCCTAAGATTCTCCAGCCATCCATTATCTATACTGCTTATTCCTGAATAGGGTCACCAGGGGGGCTGCAGCCGATCCCAGGTGACACTGGGTGAGAGGTGGGGTCCACCCTGGAGAGGTTACCAGTCTATCACAGGGCTGACATGCAGACAAACACACACACACACACACACACACACACACTCATTCCTACGAGCAATTTAGAGTTGCCAATCAATCATGTCTTTGGACTGTGGGAGGAAGCCGGAGTATCTGAAGAGAACCCACAGGGGTGGCATGAACACTCAGCACAGAAAGGCCCTGGGTCAGCCCGGGCTCCAACCTGAACCTTCTTGCTGTGAAGTAATGGCGCTAACCACCGCACCGCTGAAAGAGAGAACTTCTAAATTTGAGAGAATCCTGTCAAGAAACACCTATATATAGCAACAGTGAATCAGCTAAAACATTACCTCAGTTCCTTCTAATTCCATCTGAATGGTAGTGCAGAAATAAAGCTAGAGTAGTAGTTAGAGGTAAAGCCTACCTGTAGCCTGTCCAGAGAGTGGACCCAGCCTAGCAGCCTTCGTGTTGTAAAAAAACTGTCCAGGTCGACACTCTTGGGGTGCAGACCTTGGCCATCCTCCAGGCGGTTGCGGAGGTTGTGGAACTGTGTTTGGGTCAGTGCCGACATCGGACCCAGGATCATCTCATGCCAAGAAGGATGCAGATAGGACTCCAGTCCCACATCAACCCTCATTCCACAGAGACTCATCAGGATGGCCATCTGAATAAGACCCTCTGTGAAGTATTTCTTTAGGTACAGCATGGTCAGAAGATGGGCAAAGAATTCAGCAGGTGGAATCCTTTCACTGAAAAGGTCTAGGATTCGGTTTGGTCTCCACCACGAGTGTCTCTTCTGTTATAGTGTCCTTGGGGCAGGTGTAAAATCTCTAGAAAATCCCTACTCACTCTGGGCCTATTGCAGCAACAACACAAATCTCTCTCCTCAGTCGGGAAATTCTTTACCTTTATTTTTTATACTAAATTATAATGTAAAATTGCTCTGGTGGGAAGACTTAATAATGTAGCCCTGAACAAGGCACTATACATTTCCACCCAGCTGCTTTGTTAGAGTCACTTGACCAAGAGTGTCCAGGAATAGAAGGTGCTGGTTTATGAAGAAGCTCTTCTGTTATTAGACCCGAATGACAATGAAACCTTCAAAAATTCATTGTGAAATTATTCCATTCTCACAGGCTCGACCAAATCACATTGATCTTCATGGAGTCTTCACAAATGGTTATTTTTTCTGTCAATGAAAACATTTGTTTACTGCAGTGCAAAGGAACACAAAGTCCAAATAATACACAAAATGTTATCACAAGTATAATTCAGGATGTTAACATGCTTTAAGATTTTGCATCTAATATAATTATGTATGTAGTATGCTTTATCCTTAATCTGTTAATTATTCACTCGGTTAATTCATTACTTGTGTGATCTATCAAATATAAGAGACATGTAAAAAATACCTTTGGGATTTCTTATTGCACGAGTCAAATATTAGGTTTTCTATCACAGAAAACAAAAAACACCAACAGATCTTCATGTTTGAGAACCTCATGCCAGAGAATTTTGATAAATTTCACTTGAAAATGTATATTCTAGATTACATGAAAAATTTAAAATGATTGCCAATCCATGTCTAATGTTGCCATTAACTGCTGTATATTAAAATGTAGTTACATATACTTATGATAACAATGACATGCGGTGTCAGACTAACCATTTCCAGTGTTTGTACTAAGCTTAGCTAACCAGGTTTTGTTGGTTGCATCATATTATACTTAAGAGTGATTTCTTTTCAAAGATTACAGTTGAAAAAGTAACTATGTAGTGGAGTATTTTTACACTTTGGTACTGCTACCTTTACTTAAGGATCTGAATCATTGCTCTAGTATTTTTATTACTCACTCTAGTAACACCTCAACTTCTGTTATTACTTCAACTGCTGCTACTACTACATGTATTACTGCTGTACTGTTGTCACTAATACTATTACCCTGCAGTTAATGCTAATATGATAACTTCAACAGCACTTGAGAGGTCTGACAGTGTGTGTGAGGAGATAACACACACAGATAGGGCAGAAGGGTAGAAACTTCGGCCTGCTTCTAGAGAGTGTTTGGCAACCACCTACCTGCCCCACACTGCTTGCCTTACTCACTGCAGCCACATGATGTAATTGTCAGTGTTTGTCTGGAAAAACCCTTTCCCTGTCTCCTCCCTCCTGCCAGTTGCCGGGTTTACTTTTCATTCTATGCTCTGTTTACAGAGGCTGCAGTGGAGGAGCTGAATGTTAAAGGATTTGGAAAATATTTCAGCACCACTTCAAGACCCAACAGTTCAGACTAGTATACAATCTAAAACACAGCCTAGTCGAGTATTATCTTGTCCTGTGTATTGCCAGTGTTGCTACATGGTAACACAGACAGACGGGTGTAACGTCAGGGTAGGTAGGTGTTCCCAGATGCCTGTGGCAACAAAGAACAGTCATTTATAACACAAGTGACTGGTTCGCTCAGTTCTTAAAGACTCGACTTTCCCAGTCAGTGGTGCTGTTATATGCTGTGTGTGCTTTTCCACACTGCCTGATGACAAAGGTGTAACCCATAGTATAATACTCTAATCTGCTGTTTTGTTGGTGTGAAACTCTTGTGCACACTTATCTAACACTCATGCCATACTGACTAGTAAATTAAAGGATGCTGTTGCATATGCATTTAGTATTCAGCCTTACTACACAGTTCTAGCCCCATAAGTCTTTTTTTCAAATGTTACATACCAAAGTGTAGGCTATTTAAAGTATCAAAAGTAAAAGTACGCATAATCCAGAAACTAGACCACATGAGAGGTGTACTCTTACCCAATATATTGGTTACACAATGTTTCAATCAGTCGCTGACAGAGAAACGAAAGCTGTGGTATGTTTATGACAGGGCAGCGGGAGAAAACGTACACAAGGTTTTGTTAAAGTACCTGTATCACGCACAGAGAACACTACACGTCTGACAGAAAAATACTGTAAACTCACGTGAAAACAAAGGTAGTAGAAAGATTACAGGAGTTATAGTGATTCCACCGACTATGTGAAACTATAAAATCACTACTCGGTTCCGTAAACACAACACGCTCACAGTGAGCGGTGTTAAATTTTAATTTCTGTTTAAGCCACGTCTGAATGTTGAAGCATAGACCTGTTATAAGAATATCCTGAGAAGACCACATGAATATTAATATCTTACCAGAGGCTGTTGCTGGGTGTTGCGTGTTCAGCTGTGTATCCCCTCACTATAACACCGGGGTTTTGTTTCTCTTCTGGGCTGGACTGAAGGGTGGGACCTTTTTAAAGCGGCACCGTCATGACGTAATAACTCCTCCTCCAAAAATAAAAAAAACATGGACTGGTACTGTGTATGCTTATGTGTGCGTGTCAGAGGGAGTATGTGCGTGAAAACTAAAATATTTGTGAGGCATTATTGTTGATGCGTGTCTCAGAGTGAAAGAGAGAATTTAAACTAACCTAAACACACGACCTGCTGCGAATAGGCTATTCTTTATATTATATTTCATTCTGTGGTGGAAGAAGTATTTAGATCCTAAAAGTTATAATATCACAATGTGCACAATACACCAATATAATTAAAAGTCCTGCATTCAAAATCCAAAAGTAAAGGAGGAGAAGCAGAAACAAAGGTTGAGGACTGATAAAGTCCCACATAAACCAAACTGAATGAGTGAAGTTAGGAATGGGGAACATCCCATACAAAATTGAATTAAGGATTAGTGTGAACACCAGGAAGCTGTAGGTCAAAGGTTAGGGTTAGGGTTAAACCTGAGCCTAAACCTGCCTAGGTTAACAACTTCTGGGTAATATCAATTGCTTCCCACTGAGGCTATCAGTTGAGAGAGACCTGGCTGCAGACAAGATGGCGGACTGCAACTAAGATTTGGGCACTCAGCTGGAAGTTGTCAACTTGAAATAAAAACTGTGTTATGGCTAGGCCTAACTTTTAAAAATGCCTTTTCTTAACTTAAATGTGTAGTTCCAGATAGATAGATACTTCATACAGACGGCAATACAGAAATCCTTTTTTATTCAGAAAGACAAAAATGTTGACAAAAACGATGATGGTGAATCAAAATTCAAACATTTTGCAGAATGGATTGATAGTCTTGACCTGTAAAATGACTTAAATGTGCATTGCCAGACAGAATTGTTTTCTTCTCATTTACATTCTAGTAATTCAGCAAAATGCTTATGAGTTTTACCAAAACACATTTCTTTCTGCTCAAGTGTTGCTGTGATGCAGGGTCAAGACAAAATACTAACACGGCAGCTGCTCTAGCAGTTTGAGAGACATGTAATGGAGGGGTCACAGGTTCGGGACCCATAACAGCCATGTTCCCTTCCTCCAGAGCTGCAATGGCACATACACAATATAATTCAGCCACTTATAGGGTCAAGTGTTTCTTTAGGGCACCGGTGCTAACCAAAGTCTTTCATAGTAAACAATATTATTCATGATCAACAACGCGTATATAAAAACAAAATCTCATCAGCATCTTAAATTCTGTGAGCATAAAGACCTGTTATAGTTGCAGAAACCTGTTTCACAAACTTGTATTAAAACATGAAACCATCCAAGCAATGCAAATTTTACAGAAGAAAACCCAGTTTCTTAAAAACGTGAGTCAGTTACATTAGGTTTGAATAAATCAATACATTGCACAGTCCTCACAACAGGCAGCTCATATGTAATAAAATAGCTCTCAATGCAGCAAATACCTCCACTGTGTTGAGTACAGTCAATTTTTGTAGTACAAAATTAGTTGCTATAACACTGTTGACATGAACACAGAAACCCTTCCTTCACTGTAATGTTTTCTGAATGTTCTGTAGCATCTAGGAGCAGCACAGGAGTGCCTTTTACATATCCTTCTTCAAAGAATAGGTATCAGATGTACAAAGCAGAGAGCCTGCCATATACTACACAGTATATTACATCAAGCGTGCTTAAAGTGCAAGGGTTCCCTCTGACTGGACCCAACCTCTCTAACGCACCTCCTCCTTTTCTTCTTCCTCTCTACGATCCAGCTTCCTGTTCTTGCCCCAGCGCCTCCAACAGGAGTCCCATGGGTGTCCTCTTTAAACCAATGATCTCCAGTTTATTCTCCAGCTTATTCTTCAGGCTGCGCAGTCTCACCGATGCATGGACCAAAACCACTGTGAAGGTGGGATACAGACAGCGGCATGAAGGGATAAAATGCTCACTAGTTAGCTAGCTAACAGTAAGATATACTGAGGTGACCCTGAGTACTGACAATACAAATCAGAAGAGGTAACTGCCACAAACAATAACTCAAATTACAATGTGCAAACTATAACACGGCTTTCACACTTTTTTATGATCAGTCTACTGTAAATGTCAGATACAACATTTCTAAAGCACAGGATTTAATTTTTTTAAACTCGTTATTCCTACTGAATCTGAATGATAAGAATAGAAAAACAGATGTAAAGTAACCGGTGATGTGCATATTTCAGAACCATGGAGGCACAGCGAGCAGCAAGGAGAGAGAGAGAGGCTGTTTTACTATGCGTGCCTTCCCCTTTGATCTGTAGCCTAAATGAAAAATTGCGATTCACATGCAGATTGTGTCTGAAGGAAGTTTGTTTTTCTTTGTTTTTAAGGCAACAGACATGATCAAGAGTGATTGTTTTGGTGATCTTTGCATTAAAGTGAAGTTTACTGTGACGCCTCGCTTTGATAGTGATGGAGAAAACTGCATGCATGCCAGTATCTTTATTAAAATTAATTAGTGCTGAATCACTCTTACGTGTGAATCATACATCAGTAATAATCATAGCCTAATTTTATGCATGGGGGACGACTAGGCTTATGTGTTAAGTGGACTGATGCTCCAATCTAGTGTTCTCAGGCAAACACCTTAATTTCATCTTTCTGCTGGAATATGCTGGTATTTGTGTATGTTTGTGTGTGTTCCTGTCTTACTCAGAATAGGAAAGGCTATCCCAAACAGGAACACAGCCACGCCTCCCAGCACCAATATGAAGAGGTAACTGGCCAAAAGAATGACCAACACACTGACCAATGGGTGGTTTCTACGGAAACGGCGAATGGGAGCTCGGTTCTCAGCAGCCCAGACAAAGCCCAGGAACAACAAGGTGACCACCACTGCCCCAACAAACAACTGGAGAGGCTGGAAATACCTGAGAGCAAAGGCACATACCTTACACATACAAGGCAAATACCTTACATGACAAACACTGGTGTGGCACGTGCTCATTTGTTGTTGTGAACACACTCTGTAGTTTATTTTGACTCAGTCCCAGATACACCATCCTGCTGCCACTTGTATACTCACAGAATACCCAAAGTGAATTACTCCACTGCTGAAACTAGTCCCCAGTAAATACACAATTTCCTCCTGTTTTAATCATATATCTTATCTACTGTGAGCAGCTGTTTTTGAAAATTACTGAGCCGTCTTAAAGATTTACATCAGTAGGACCCAATGACTTTAGAGCTGAATTTCTCTGAGAATGATTACTAGAGTCAGAGAGGTGCTAGGAAATGAAGTGCCATCTCCAGCTGAGCTCACAACAGTTGACAGTTACATATAAATACATAGTATTTTTTGTTATTTATCAATAAACCAGTCTATACTTGGAGTAGAGTTGTGTAAGATGTTCCTAAACAGGCCACAACGGTTACAGTAGAGTACAGCTGATTCTTTAGCACATTAAAACGTTTATTATCACATATGATAAAAGAAAAGCAAAGAAGGTGGAATCAGAGGACACTGTAAATGATGGCTTCAAAATCGTAGAAGGTTACTCTTGTTTGCAGCTCTAGGTTAGTGAATGGCTTAATGTGTATGACAAAGTGTGCAGGACACAATGAGAGAATATGTTGTGGGAGAATGGTGTTTTCTCCCTCCAACAGAGGAGCACTGAAGCTGCTCTGGAGGCACTTTACAATAAAGTCTACATGTTGTTCACTTACACATCTGTATATGATTTGGTAATGAGCACCTTATGGCACCACAACCTCAGATGTGGGTTTAAAGTCATGGCAGGAATTGAATCAGGCTATGCCAATTTTTGAAAGGGGTGGCATTCCCTTTAAAGTACTACAAGGCTCTCTCCTCTGTTAAACTGTGCAGGTAACAGGAGTTTGTGTCACGATGATGGAGGCAGCTCATTGTTACTGCTGTGGGAAATGCAACGCCACTGAAAGTAGCCTACTGCAGCAAAACAGACAGGAGAGGAAATTCACATCAGTTGACAGTGTTTACTACATGTCCAGTAGGTTCACTCTAGGAGCGGGGGCTGGGGGCCACGTCAGAATAATGAAACTTACCCCACCAGGAGCAGGAGGCCCAGCGCGGACAGGAAATAATTGCTCTGGTAGTACAGCAGGTTGTTAATGATGCGGTTGTTCCAGCGGTCCAGGTCGCGCACATCGGGCACGGCGAACCGGGCCGAGCTCAGGAGAAAATCATTCAGGCTCCGGATGGGTGGCGGTTTTACGTCTGCCATCTTTACTAAGGACTAGACGCCTAGTAAACTTAGTTTCCCAGAATGCAACGCGAAGAAAAGGGGAGGACGAGGACGCTCAGTTTCTGGCGAAGCTCGTGCCCGATAGTGAAGCGCCCGGTCCGTATTTTCTATATAGAATTAAAATTATTTCACAATAGGAATAATGCTAGCTCATATGGTCACGTTACCCTGACTTTTTTCGTCTTATTTTAGAGCTCTAATCACATTTTAGCCTTTAATAAACAGAAACTATAGCAGCTTAGTTGCAATATTTTAAAAAATGTTCTGTTCTTCTAATCAGGAGGGAAATGTCTCCTTACGTTTTAATTTCCTCTTGGTAACAAGAGATGTGCCCCGTTACCATGAGAAAATTACCTGAGCTTGTGCTAATGAGGTTACCTGATAAAATAACATTTTGCAGCCAAGACTGTTCTTGGCTTCTGAATAATCTTTGAAGCATCATATATTTTTTATTTATTATTTTCTTCTTTTATTGAAATACGCACTTACTCCAATATTTTATACATAAGGTTGAGCTGACTTGACTCCTCAGACTGTAAAAATCGTTATACTGTAATGCCTGTGTGACTCTGTAAAATATGAGAAAGTAGCTTAAGACCAGTTGATGTCATCAGGATTATATTATACTGGATTTAAGACCTTAAATGTTTTAACAGAAATCCTGTGTCACCAACTGTTCAGTTTGCACTAGCTTTAACCATAGGCTATAGCTATCTTGGCCTCTGCTGCTTTGATTTCAACCATTAAAAAAAAACATATCTTGTGAGTCCCTGAAATTGAATTGAAGTGCACTGATAAATAGCTGGAGTGCCCCTTCAAACAGGCTACTTTCTGCATCACCATCAATGTGTATTTCCCCTGTCCTTCAGTGTCATCTTTAGCCCTAAGCCAAACATCATCTTCAGCTTAAAATTGAACCTTCACTTGCACTGATTGATGCAAGTGTCACTAAATGCAGTGATATGACTTTCTGGTGTGTTTTAATAATACAGGTTGTCATGTTCCTAGGAAACATGTCACTAAATGCAGTGATATGGCTTTCTGGTGTGTTTTAATAATACAGGTTAACAATAAATTGGCCTACATGTCTAAATTATATGTAAGCTATCGGGTTTGGCTATTGGTCTTTTTATGGAATTTAGTTTAGTTTAGTTCCCTAAAGACCTCATAGAGCCTTACCATCCTAAAGGAGCACTTCGCTTTCAGAGGGCAGGTCTATTTGTGGTTCCTATAGAGTCTACAGAAGTGGAATGGGAGGCAGAGCCTTTAGCTATCAAGCTCCTCTCCTGTGGAACCAGCTTCCTGTCTCAGGTCAGGAGAAAGACACCCGTCTCTACCTATAAAATTAGGCTTAAAATGTTCCTTTTTGCTAAAGCTTGTATAGTTTTGGTGGGCTCAGGTGACCTTGAGCATTCTCTTGGTTATGTTGCTATAGGCCTAGACTACTGGGGCTCCTTCCATGATGCTCTGAGTTCTTTTCCTCTACTCCCCTGTCTTGTTTGTTGTGTCTTGATGCTTTTCTCTCTATGCACTCACCCCAACAAGTCGAGTCAGATGGCCTACCCACCCGGGTCTGTTGGATGTTTCTTCCATTAAAGGGATTTGTTTTTCTCTCTACTGTTGCCAAGTGCTTGCTCAAGGGGGATTTGTTGGAGTTTTCTCCATAATACTGAAAGGTCTAGACCTTACTATGTACAGTGCCTTGAGATGATTGTTGTGGTGAATTTGTGCCATACAAATAAAATTGAATTGAACTGAAAAATGGAATTAAAAAATGAAAAATGCCGATATTGTTTCACTTTGTTTTTTTAACGTTACATCATCATAGTCTCTTAGACATATACAAACACATCTCGATGAACTGTAAACCACAACAGCCCCCTGCAGAAGCAGTGACGTTTATTGTGAAAAACTAGAAAGCGCGAGGAGGAGGAGGATTGTCGGGAGCGCGCTCCGACGAGTTGTTGTATCTGGTTGGGCTGCTGCGGGAGCGCGCCCGGACGTTTTCGTTGATCTCGGTGTGACAGCTCAGAGCTGTCCACGTCAACACACCGAGCGAGCACGGCGGCAGCAGCAGCGATGGACTCCGCGTCTCTGGTAAGCCTCTACGGCGTTTCGACGGGCTCGGGAAGTGACACCTCTGGTTAGGGAGTGTTATGCGCTCGGCAGTTTGTGTAGCATTTTGTTACCGTTTACTGTTACATTTGTTGCATTATGGCAGTTTTGGTTGTGTGCAATACCGGAGAGAAGGAGGGAGAGAGGGAGGGAGGCAGGGCGTTTGGCTGCAGATTGCTTATAAGACAAAAACAGATTTTATTTCTCATTTAATGCGTCGCTGCGTGTCATCCTGTGGCCGTCATGTCATTTGACTGTGGAGGCGCAGGCCTGATTTGACCAGTGTTCCACATGCAGCAGCCAGCGCGTTTAAAAGCCACACTTTTCTCCTTCCATGCGGTTAAAAATAGTACAGACTATCAGTGCGGGTTACAGCGCCATAACTTGTTAGGGTGTTAAGTTAACTCCATTACAACACACTGATTGAGCCACAGCTGTTATCCACTTAACCACGCAGAGTCCAGCGCAGAGCGCAACAGGACCGTAGCTTCTGCTCCTGCACTGATCTCTCGTAGATGCCAGCAAAGAGACCCCGTGTGTCCATATCGCACATTAAGAGAAGCTGTGTAGGAGTGTGTGGTATAGTTAAAGCGGGTCTGGATGTTTAAACGCCTGCTTGTGTTGAGCATATGCACACAGATCGGTTGACGTGTAGCGCAGAGTAGGTGCCACGTCCACCGTTCTCTCTCTCTCCTCGTTTGCCTTGCGCACCATACTATCGCTCACTCCCTCACTCTTTAATCTCCACCTTTCTCTCTCCCTCTCTTCTTTTTTACATATTCCCCGTATGAACAGTTTGCTCAAATGTCTCGATGTCATTCTTTCATTTTCTCTCTTTCTCAGTACCGGAAAGTAACCAATAGGCTAAAGTTACAATACCTACGTAGTGTACTTAAGTAGCCTGCATTTTCGAGGTAGGCCTACTTCCTTTTAATGCTACTTCTACTTCACCATATTTCAGTGGGAGATAATTTAGGCTACTTTTAGCTCGCTGCATTCAGTTTTGGAGGTTGTATCCAGATTTGTACGGATCAAGTGTAAAAAATACTCCATTACAAGTGATTGTTTGGCTTTAAACCGCACAGAGGTTTGTGAGCATGTAAAGCTAAAAGTTGGATTTTCAGCAGGGATGCATTAACATGTGCATAATATTTATAGCTGGTTGACATTAAGCAAATTTATACTACTTTATTTACCGTTGGAGAATTATTCTGCTAGTGCATCATATTTTATAAGCTCATCATGTATTTGAATGAAACATTCATTCTGCAAATAGCTAGTAACTATAGCTCTAAAAGTTGAGTGGAAAGTACATTTACCACTGAAATGCAGTAGAGTGGAAGTATAAAGTAGCTTTAAATGAACCTACTCAAGTACTTCACTACTCTACTTCAGTTTGACAGATCATACTTTAATCTGCCTGTACTTTTATTTACTTAAGTGTAATTTTGAATGGCCAAGTTTTCTTTTTGCATATATTTAAATTGTATTTTGGTTTACATATATTGTTGTATACTGCTTTCTTAAGTTGCTCTTTCACATCTATTCACTAGATCTGGTGTTATTAAACCATGACAATATTTATCGTCGAGGTGAAAGCTGCCTTGCGATATCTGTACATAACAGAATAAGAGCAGCAGCTGGCATGATGGAGTGTGAGGGTGAAATTAGCATAAAAGATGTCCTTGCCACTTTGAATTTTTGGAAAGGAGTTCAGTTAGAAGGTCACACACAGCTTCAGTCAGAAGTTAGATGCTCATGCACAGTTATAAGGTCTGAAGAAACTCGTGAAATCATACAGGAGAGAAGCTGTTCACTAGAGTTTTTCACAAAACCTTTTACAGTGCTTGCATATTGTTGTCTTTTACTGCATATGATAATTCATACAGGCAGCATGGTAGAGCGGTGGTTAGTGCTGCTGCCTCACAGAAAGAAGGTTTTGGGTTCAAGCCCGGGGCCTTTCTGTGCACAGTTTGCATGTTCTCCCTGTGCCTGCGTGGGTTCTCTCTGACTACTCTGGCTTCCTCCCACAGTCCAAAGATATGCAGCTTAGGTTGATTGGTGACTCTAAATTTCCCGTAGGAGTGTGTGTGTGATTGTCTGTCTCTAAGTGTCAGCCCTGTGTTAGACGGGTGACATGTCCAGCCCCCCAACAACTCCCATCAGGATAAGCAGTATAGGTAGTGGGTGGATGGTAATTCATACTCAAAGTAGAACTGCAGTGATGTTCATTAAAGGGTGATTAGTTAAAACATTTCAGAATGCACCTGCATTGTTTTGCATTTTGTGACTTTGAGTTAAATAAAATGAAGATTTTTTTAATAATTGTGTTAAAATATCATCTTGTCTCATGACCCAAGTGTATCGTGACACCCCTACTGTTCACCGTTTTGGTGTAACTTTGTATTCTTCTCTGCTTTTTTCCATGTCTTTCCCTCTTTCCTCCTCACCTTCTCTCCCTGTCTGTGCGTTTGTGTTTCTCTCTGCAGGTATAATTTTGCATCAGTGTGGAAAACTAGTCAGAATTTTTGAGCACTTTATATTTTCACTTATTCAAATTTTTTACTTTGTAAGTAAAAGTAGCAAAAATGCAATATAAAACCATTCAAGTAACAGATTTGATTTGTCAAATTTAAACTTTCACAACAAGTTAATCTATCAACAAATAATTAATTTAAAGAAAAACACAATCGTTCTTTTTTTTTGTAACTCATAAGCCCACATAACATACCCATGCTCCAGTTATTTTGAAACTATATTGTGCAGTAAATGGCTGATGGTCCCACACCTGTGTCCGTGGACACAAACGGCTTCCTCCACACTTTCCCTTCTTGTCTCAGGTTCACTAGTTCATTAAAAATGCATAAAACAAACAATATTTGGACTGTGTGTGTGACAAAAGCATCAAATATGTTATAGGCTACTCATTAAATGCAGAATGAATAGTCCAATTTTAACATAAATCATTACATGATGTATTATGCATTCTTACACCAATAAATAGTGTTTTAAGAGTAGTCTAGCTGATCATATTCATTGATGTACAGAGCTCCAATTTACTTCACATTTAACATCCGCGCCCAGTTATGTACTAGTTAAACTACTTTGTTTACCAATTACAGCTAGGTCTGACTTCTCTCACCTTCTTCTCTCTGAACTTCTTCCTGATCTCAGCCTCCTCTAAAGAATTTTCTTATGTCCATTTCCAGGAGTCAGAATTGTCTGATTTGAAATAAGATCGCTGGTATAATTCAGAAACTTAAATTAGTCCCCATCACATACTTCAGTCCATTCTTTTCTTTTGTTTTGTCTGCCATTCATGGATTGCTGAGTGCGCACTGCAGCGCTCCAGCTACAACGTGCATGACGTACATATGTGCACACTGTGATGTACAAACCCTGACCACTGCTTTGATATTCTAGACAACAAATCTAATCTTTTCCCATTATTATTATTAATCTAAATTAATCCACTTCCAAATATAGGAGCTTGTTAAAACTTGAACGTGTGCATTTACTGGGGCACGTGCCCCAGTAAAAGGGGTCTAGTGATGCCTATGGCGCTGTCTAACATGTCGGTCCACAATATCCCATAGGTGTTCAACTGGCTGGTCACTGTGAAGGTCATAACATATGATTCACATCATTTTCATATTCATCAATCTGTTCAACGAGCCCTTGTGCCCTGTGGATGGGGCACTGTCATCCTGGAAAAGACCACTCATTTATTGAGGTTTTTCTAACTTGTCACCAGTCTGTAGTTCTCATAGCTTTGCTTTTTATGGAAGTATAGTTCTGCCAAAATGCTTGAGAGTGCGCAAAACAAGTTTTGAGTGCTATACAGTTTGCAAATCAGAATTTGAGAGTGTGCAGGTATGTATTTGTAGCTACAAGCATTTCTTCCGAGCAGTGTTACAATAGGCGTTCCAAACTGAACCAGAGGTGGGTCTGTCTCCCCTGTATACACATGCACAGGAATGAATTCTGAATGGCTTGTTCAAGATCACATTTCTACAAACAAGGAAAAAGGGAGAAAGGCAGGGGAGGACTTCTCACATTTGGTTTGTGTCTACACATACTGGAGAGCCATGTAAAGGTGGTGTTATGATCAAAAAGTGGATTGTACATAATAAGAGACCTTTAAAGGTGCTTTGTGGCATTACATCACCAACATATTCATGAGCATGGATGTGCATCCATGATCGTATTAACATTAAACTAAATGCAATACATAAAAAACCAAATAATAGAAAACTGGTACTATGGTCAGACACAAATATTTTTAATATTATTGTGTAAGTATTATTATCTATGTCAACTTTAACTACAAATAATTATAGGTGTATTAGTGATTTGGCTAATCTACTGATACACCAGCAATGCTTTAGTGTTGCAGAGAACAGTTGACACCTGTTGTGCTGAGAAAATTGTAGACAACTGCAGCCATTCGGTAACAAGAGACATCATCTTAGAGTTTTACTAAAGGTGTATGAATTCTAACCATTTGTACCAACGTTGAAATTCTGGCGACTCAGCTGTGTGGTTGGTTCTTTCAACATTTTGGTTCAATCTGAAATATCTTGACACATATTGGGTGAAATATGGTACCGATATTCTATGAATCTCATATTTTCTGAGACTGTTGTCATACCATGAAAATCTCATACTGTTGCAACCCTAGTGGTTATATTCTCTATGTATAAAAATGACAAAATTACTATTTCTGTATCACTTTTTTTTTTCTTAAACATTTTGGATTGCAAGCTCCTGGTCTAAGTTCTGTGATACACTCTGACTGTGAATCTATGCTAGTCAGTGCATAACAGAACTTTGTCCCGGGTCTGAAAGCTCTTCGCAAGGACGGACAGATGGATGAATGGAATGATACAGTAAGTGAAGTGTGTACAGGAGAATGTTAAAATATGGAACTTTGAAACAAACCTGGGTGATATACCAGAACTAAAGCTTGGCGATAAGGAAATGAATATAGCCTGGAGTCAAGTGTAGAAACTGGTTGGACTGTGTATGCCATGTGTAAATGAAGAGTAAATGCAAAGCAGGGTGTTCCTGGGAAAGCTGGTGTTAGGTTATTTCTTAGTTAGATAGATATGGATTAGAGATCTGTTGTCTAGAAATGTTTAGTGCAGACAGGGTGACTAGCTTTGCTGTAACTATTCAGCCTGCAGGGAAGACTGCAGGCACGCCAAGGTTACAGGAAAAGAGCTTTTAGGGTCAACTGTAATGCTAGTCTTAATATTTGTCTTAAAGTGTAAGGTTATGTCCAATTGTTTAGACACACACCACGAAAACAACAGTCACGCACCTTGACTTTTCCTCATGTTTTGGCTAAACGATAGAGCAGCTGCAAAGCTTGCTTATCGGGTGGCGTCACGGTTTGACGCCCCTTGTAGCATGGGCTAGCCCAAAAATGAATAATATTATATAGGTTGTTGGGTCCAGACATCTTCAGCTTTTCTGCTGCCTGCAGGCAGAGGAGTGAGAGAGCTCTGGACGTGTAATGTGAATTTTACCTGTGATCCTCTGAATAAACCAGCACGGTTATTTTTTATAAAATCTAAAGCAGTCTCTTTCGTCTCATTGAGAGTTCCTGGTTTGAAAGAACCGGAAGAAGCTACACAGAAATAATAGCTTATACTGGATATATTGATACTACACACTAGCCAGGTGTGAGAGGACTGGCTTTGACTGTAGCTGTGACTATACATCTGACATGTCTCTTTTTATCAGCAAACCTGAAATGTTCTTTCTGTTTATTGTTGCAGGAACCTTCCCTCTACACAGTGAAAGCCATTTTCATTCTTGACAATGATGGCAACAGACTTCTATCAAAGGTGAGGTTAAAGGACTATATCAGTGATCTCACATGTTTTAGCCCTTTAACTGCAAATTACCTGTATCTTATATCACAGCCACTTTAAATTCTGATTGGTGGAAGGTATGGACTTTTAGTAACTGGACACCTGCTGTTCTAAATGAATGCACCATTATTAACAACATTATAGACTGACTACATTTGGAATTTTGTATTCTCCTTTGGTTGGGTGGTTCAATACACCCCGCATAATTTATTATAATCATGGAACATACAACTTGTCAGATATTATCCCTGACTTACTTGACTGCTGACAATCCAAACATACAGTACACAAGTTTCATTTTATTTCAGTCATTTGTTCAAAATTGACACGTGGTGACTTTATTTATTTTGTTAGATATATTTGTAGTCCTATAACTACAAAATATTCAGGTTGCGGGTTTACATCCTACAGAACAGGCAGAGTGACAGAACTGATGGCGACTATAAACGCAGCGGTTGAGAGCTCTCTAAAATGAAACTGTACTCTGCTGTCCATCCATCCATTATCTATACCATTTATTCCTGAATAGGGTTGTGGGCTGGAGCCAATCCCAGCTGACAGTGGGCGAGAGACAGGGTACACCCTGGGCATGTAGAATAACAACTACCGTAAGCACACTCACCCGTATGGGCAATTTAGAGTCAGCAATTAACCTAAGCAGCATGTCTTTGGACTGTGGGAGGAAGCCGGAGTACCCGGAGAACCTTTTTGTCATGAGGCAACAGCGCTAACCACCGCACTGCTGTGCTGCCCCTTATTTTGTTGTTGTTTTTAATTGTGTTCTGGGAATTCAACCTCGGTGCATCAAAGGTGTTTCATTACACCCATGAATCGTTAATTCACATCAGGGCGATGCAGCAACAGGCTGGTGCTTTTCAGCACATCCATGGGATTCCATCGGAGATCACCAGAGCGAAGACACAAGTGAGGATATAGGACCGGTGTGCTAGTGCGGCAAAGGAGGAATCCTCACAGACCACCACTCCCCAGTCTCTTCGTCTCTAACGCAAGGTCTCTTAACAACAAAATGGATGACATAATGACACTTTGTTTATCATTATGGCCAACCATCCAGAAAAGTTGTGTGATGATCATCACTGAGACCTGGTTAAACCCAGGTGTCCCGGACGCAGCTATTGAGCTAGTGGGCCACTCTACACACCACAGTAACAGAGGCAGACTCCAGTAAAAGCAACAGGGATGGACTGTGCATCTACATGAAGAATTACTGATGCATGAATACTGCCATTACTGCCAGACACTGCTCTCCAGACCTAGAGTTGCTGGCAATTAAGTGCAGGCACTTCTATCTGCCACGGGAGATATTTATTGTTGTTACAGCCATGTACTGTATATACCACCGGACGTTATTGCTAACATATCACTCTGCTACATGTTAGCAGCAAACAACCCAATGCATATCCTGATGTGGTTTTTGTTGTGGCTGGTGATTTCAATCATGCCGACCTGAGGACTGTGCTTCCAAGGTTTGAATAACATGTCAAATGCCCAGCCAGAGTGGAAAACACACTGGACTGTGTTTAACACCCCCAAAGGCTATAGCGCCTCTCCCCTCTCTTAGCTAAGTGCTTTGAAATACCTGGGACATATCAAATGCACACTCTCCCCCACTTTAGACCCACATCAGTACTCATACAGGGTAAACAGATCCACATGCTGAGCGGACCATGAGCAGACCATGAGCACAGACACAAAATTTTGGCCTGCACACGAACATTGGCGTCAACCCTCACTGACCTGGGAAGATGATGAAAATTACATCACTCAACCTTGGCTGACATGTGGACATACAAAGCATGAATAGCCCTTTAACATTCAGTGTTCCAACATTTTGGAAAGTAGAGTAGAGAGCTCACTGAAAACAGTCGTACCACTCAAATGTCTGTGAATTAAATATAAAGCTGCTAACATCTATTACTTCTACCGCTTATCCAACCCCACACACGTTCACTCCTAGGGGCAGTTTAGAATCACCAGTCAACCTAAGCTGCACGTCTTTGGACTTTGGGAGGAAGCCAGGGTACCCGGAGAGAACCCACACAGGCACAGGGAGAACATGCAAACTGCACAGAAAGGCCCGGGGTCAGCTGGGGCTCGAACCTGGAACCTTTTTGCTGTAAGGTGACAGTGCTAACCACTGTTTCATCATGCTGCCGAAGCCACTAACAGCATTTTTTTTAAACTAGCTAAATCCAAAGCCTGGAGACTTGAAAATTCCGTGGGCCAAAGGCAACAAAAGGAGCACTTTTTTGTTAGTGCTTCCCAATAAAAGCCTGTGTTTCACCAGTTAAACTATTTTAATATGGAGCTGCACTAGGAAATGTCAGGTTAGTATTAATAATAACCTGAAAGAGTACACCTATTTTGCACTGGACTGCAACCTACACAACATACACTATAATACTGTTGGATTTATTATGGGCAATATTTAAAAAAAAAAAAGAATAGAATCACTGCAGAAGATCCCAAGATTTGAGTCTAATGTGGGAATGGTGGATTCTGCCACCAACAGTGAAAACTACTAGAGGCGGTTACTGAATGCAAATGCATTCAGTAACTATATCAAAAACAAAGTTTGTTTTTATGAAAATCAACAGTAGTACATTTTAATGGGCTCCAACATGCAAACCGGGTTGGACTGGTCCCCAGTGTAGAGGACACGTTTCCACACGACCTACTGTGCCATCTGTTCTACATGTTTATGACCCCAAAGGGAATGAAATCCTTTACCCAACAGCATTAGTACGCAAATTATTTCACAGTTTCATGTTTGTGTTTCAGTACTATGACCCCGAACTCTACCCCTCCATGAAGGAGCAGAATAACTTCGAGAGGAACATTTTCAACAAGACACACAAAGCAGACAGTAAGTTTCGCTCTTACACTTGTACTGTACAGGTCACCTGTTACACACTCTACCATTTAGTAGCCCAACACTAGTATGTGATACTAGCCCAAAGCAGTTTTTATGTCAGCCTGATTTCCACTATTATTTGACTGTTCAGAGAAACCTAATCAACACTTTCAGGTGCTTTTTGTTGCCCTGCACAATAAGTTTCCTTTTCAGGGAAAGTAGGATTCACAGTGCTGATACCCGAGTCCCTGCCCCTGGCCTCCTTATCACCCACACAAAATATTCCTTCTTTTCTTCTAAGCTCCTCCTTCATTCCTCCTTTTCTCCCCTCTTTCTTCTACCTGTCATGCTATATCCCCTCTCCTACTCAGTTTTCTTTCTTTTCACTCATATCTATAAAAGAGAAGTTTGTCTCTCTTACGTTTCACTGCTAACCCATCCCTCTCTCCTTCTCTGTCTAGATGAGATAGCATTCCTGGAGGGGATGACCATTGTCTATAAGTGCAGTATAGATCTCTTTTTCTACGTGGTGGGAAGTCCACAGGAGAATGAGGTAGGGAAAATTTAGCTCTCTCTGGTGAAACTGCAGTTTTTTTCTAGCCTGAGAAATTAATAATTATGATAATAATGAAGAATAAAATGATTTGAAAAACTGTCTCATGCCATGCAGAGGGATTTTATGTTCTGGTTCATCTGCAGATTAGTGCAACCATGCTAGTCCATCTCTCAGTACATTCTGACTGCCTTGTCTGTGACACTCAGTCCTAAGGCCATTGGTTCCTACTGAAGGGTTGTCAATTAAAATCATTCAGCCAAATACTCAGTATATTTAATATTAAAAAAGGCTCAGTAGTTTCCTTTAATTTTCCACCCAGGCACTCTATCGTTTAGCGTAGTTGCTCAAACAGCAGGAAATAGCACATTTGTTAGAGACATAGACAGAATACAGTATAAAGTGTAAGTAGCGAGATGTGGTGTCACCCGTTGGTTTGCATTGGTGCTGGTTTGTAGCCCAGAGCTGCAGCCTACAGTCAGTGCTAGGACCTTCCAGATAAAAAAAGTTTGGGGCATTGTGCTTGTCCTGCCACCTCAGGTTAATTACGACCATACTGAAATCACCAGCCATACTTCCCTGTGAAATGTTATCACATTGTGATTTCAGCCACTTGATAAATGTTAAGACACAAAGTTATGTTTGCTAACAGTATTGTCAAGTTCGCCTAATGTATAAAACACTAAAAATGCCACATTTGCACAAGGTGTGGAATCTCTCACTGATAATACTATCTATTAGCAGGATAGCTGGACTGTATAATGCAAACTGTATACACTTAACGCGCTAGTAATGTTAGTTCTGTCTACTGGTTGTGTAAACAGGCACAAAATGTGCCATCAAATGTGTATAATTTTTATTTTGCTGTATTTTGTCCTCAAGTGTCCATAACAAACTGATTGATGCAATTTTAAATTCAGATGTTGTCATCTCAGAATTGGCCTCTTGTTTTCTTTTTCTCTCTTTAGCTGATGTTGATGTCAGTACTAAACTGCTTGTTCGACTCCCTCAGCCAGATCCTCAGGTATGTTCACTCACCAAGCCTTAAATCAGTTGTGAGTCAAAGAATGAATGAATGAAACCAAAATAAAAAATAAAAAAAAGACCGCTCCAAACAGAGATTCACAATATTGTTTCCAGAATGCTTCTAATGAAGCCACTGTGATGTCTGACAGCTGCAGATATGTTACTGGAGTGACAATGAATTTGTAGACCTGCCTCTGTATAAATGTATAATTTTAATATTGAAGCTTTTGTCATGCACATTGTCTCAGCACCATCAGTGCTTCTCCACTCTAACACTGCCATTCCTCTGCCAGAGCATCTCAGAAAGATAATGGGGTCATGTTGAAACTGATATAAAATTCAGCAGCTGCGTATATGTCCTAACTGAAAGGCAATTGTCACCTAATTTTAAAAATAACATGTTAAGAGATATTAAAGGGATCAACAAATAGTGGAGCTGAATGATGTCAAAATGACGTCTAGTCCTCATTTTTCCTTAACATTTAAAAAGAAAAATGGAAGAATAGTTTGTCAAGCTGTGTGTGTTCACCTCATTCCTTCTGTTTGTACACTGTAAATTACACGCCAGGATCCCTCACTGTTGACTGCAACGTTAACAGCCAAACAACGGCTGCTGTGGTTGCTATGGGAACGAATGCAGTAGTAATGCAGAGTGTGAGTAATACAGAAATGGAGAGATAGTATTATTACAGTATGAAAGGCTAAATTGCTTTGTTTAGATTAAAAATGCAGATTTTATCATTACACAGTAAAATCAGTGAAGCTGCTGAATGGTGTCTTGAATTTAGTCCATGGGAGACATGATAGGTGGACTGTGGGATTAAAGCAACAGTTTGACATTTTGTTACAGTACTGTGATGACTTTTTTCAGTATCCAGTACTATAACGGGTTACAATTTAAAACTCACTAACTAATCCCAATAACAAAACAAACATTATCCACAGGTACATTCAGGAGTCCCCTGATTTATTCAAAGTACTACTAGTAGTATCGACGGTACTGGAGAGCAGAGTGCAGTCACTGAAGCTAGCTAAGCTTTCTATTGTATAGCTGCCTGTAGCGTCTAGTTTTCCATTTCTACATCTTGAATACAAAAGGAGACATGGGTGTGGAGGATTTGGACTTAGCAAAAATAATGCAAAGCGCTTTGTCCAGTGTTCAACTGAATTTCAGGCTATTGGTCAAAATTAATACCAGTGCACTTTCCTCCAATGTCAACTCTCTAAACTTCTCTTTGATTTGGGTACGTACAAGCTAATGTTAAGCTGAAACAATAGGTCACTGAACATCGAGGCATTATCTTATCAAATCTCTGGTAAAGTTAGTTAACCACAGTATTGTCAGCTCGACTGGTTACCACTTCCATTAAAATATATATATTGTGATTCACATGCAGGAAGTAGTGCATGCAGTAGTGCCTACGCTAGCTTACTGTTACATATTAACAGAACATAACAGAAAACTTTAATGTGTATTTGTGGTGTTTGGTCAGTATCTAATCCACTTAAAAAAGGTCAAAGTTTCTGTAGTCTTGTTTTCATGGTGAGGTTTTCAGCCACCTAACAGAGACACAAGTGGTAGGATAACATTTTAAACTTAGAACATTACCAAACTTTCAGAGTGCTGCTTGCACTGGCCACCACAAAATTAGGACCCTTATAGGTGTAGGGACGTCTCTACAATGAGCCAGACTGTCTGGTTCTTTGTTTCTGGTCCTTATGCTAAACTAGGCAAATCATAAACTTGCTTAAGCTCTGTAAATGCAGACACAGTGTTTAACATTCCCCAATGTAGAGGTTTTGAAGAAGCACTGAACAAACCCTGAGCAGAGTGGAGAGCACACATCCCTTGGGGGGCACCTGTGCTGATTGTCAGTGCTGGATGTGGTTTTCCCAGCCGCACCTGCTGCTTCCTGTCTGTCAGAAAGATGGTGATCCACTGACAGGTGGGAGTAGGCAGAGTGAGTCGGGTCAGTTTGGAGTGAAGGATGTCCAGGATGATGGTGTTGAACGCCAAGCTGAAGTCCACAAAGAGGACCTGTGCATAGGTCACTGGGGAGCTGAGGTGTTGCAGGATGTAATGCAGTGCCATGTTGACTGCATCATCCACTGGCCCATTTGTCTGGTAGGCAAACTACAGGGGGTCTATGATGGTGGGCCAACACCAGTTTCTCAAAGGACCTTGTAACTACCATGTAATAGTCATTCAGTCTGCTGACTGAGGGTTTCTTGGGAACCTGGATTATGGTGGAGTGTTTGATGCAGGAGAGGGCTTCACACAGCTCTATTGATCTGTTGAAGATGTGTGTGAATATGGGGTGATCAAGCTTTCAGGCAGGAGTGGGTCACACCATCTGGGACGGGTGCCTTTCTTATCTTTTTTTGTTTTTTAAAACGGCCATGCACATCCTTTTCATAGATCTCCAGGGGTTGGGAGCTAGGGGGAAGGGAGAAGATCACGGGGGGGAGCAGCTGCTGGGTCTGAGGTGAGGTGGATGAGGGGTATGGACTTCTGCTTCTCAAACTTACAGTAAAACGCATGCAGGTTGTATACCAGCTGATGGTATTCTACAGCAGGGGAGGGTGGTTTTCTGTAGCCACTGGTGTTTTGTACACTTCTCACACAGACAAAGGGCCATTGGCTGAAAACCGGTTTTTCAGCTTTTTGGAGTAGCTCCTCTTTGCTGCTCTGATCTCCCTTGCCAATGTGTTCCTGGCCTGCCTGTACAGGATCCTGTCCTCTACCTCTCTAGGCCTCCTCTTTGGCACAATGAAGCTGCTTGAGTTTACTGTGAACCAGGGCTTGTTGCTCTATGTGCAGAAGGTCTTGGTGGGCACACACACTTCCTCACAAAAGCTGATGTATGTCACAGTGTCAATGAGTTCATCCAGGTCTGAAGAAGCACCCTCAAATACATTGCAGTCTGTGTAGTTGAAGCAGGCCTGTAGCTCTGACTTTGCCTGTTCAGTCCGTCACTTCACTGTTTTGATCACAGGCTTTGCAGCTTTCAGTTTCTGCCTTTATGTTGGGATGAGATGGACCATGCACTGTTCAGAGAGTCTAAGGGCTGCATGGGGGACAGAGTGATAGGCGTCTTTTATTACCGTGTAACCGTGGTCCAATATGTTTTTGTCCCAGGTGGGACAACCGACGTGCTGTCTGTATTTGGGCAGTTCATGGGTGGGATTTGCTCTGTTAAAATCGTCTAGAACAATGAGTGGAGGGTTGGTTCCATGGTAGTTATCTATTCAGCCAGGTGCTGTAGTGTGCTGGTGTGGGTCTGCGGGCTTATATAAATTCTGACTACAATGAATGAATTCTCTGGGAGGCTAAAATGGTTTGCAGTTGATGAAAGAAGTCTCTAAGTCCATGTTGCAAGTTTTTTCTAGCATCGTCATATCTTTGCACCAACCTTCATTTATGTAGAAACAGATTCTGCGTCTTCTCGTTTCCCCAGGTAAATCTAGATCTGCTCTGTATACCTGGAACACCAGTATTTATATTGCGTCCGAGACGGAGTCGTGTAGTCTCCTTGAAGCATAGAGCATCAGAGTGTGAGAAGTCAGAGTTAGTCTGGTTGAAGAACAGGAATTCATCCGTGTTAGCTAAAGAGCAGAAATTCACTAGATGGATACAATAGACAGGAGTAGCGTCCAGGTCCTTTTCTGTAATTTAACCAGGGTGTTTGGAATGAGTTGTCTGATGTTTAGAAGCTCTTCTCTGCTAAAGTTAATCCAGGATGGGTTGCAAAAGACTGAGAGAATGAGGAAAACAACAAACACATGAGAGAGTGCACGATCGAGGCAGCCATCTGCCATCTTGATCTGTTTTTATGTTATTTCCTGTAGGAAAAATGTGGAGAGGAGGTGTTTACTAGAAAACATGGAAGGAGCATTCCTAGTCGTGGATGAAATCATTGATGGAGGGTAAGAGGGAAATAATGTTTACAGCAGCTTACAAGTACAGGACAATATGTGCAAATGTTTAACTGCCACACATCCACTCTACATAAGATTTACTGTGCACTCAGTCTAGCTAACCTATGGGCTAGGGCTGCAGTTATTTTCAACATCATTAAACGTATTGATCATTTTTGGATAAAGTCTCAAGTCACTGTAAGAAAATGGCCTTAGTCATGTTTGTGCTGTACTTGTGTCTGACTGGTTGCTTAATCGTGTTGCCAGGGTGATTCTGGAGAGTGACCCCCAACAGGTTCTGCAGAAGGTCAGCTACAGGGTAAGATGACTGTCAGTTATTCCCAGCTACCAATCATTTCAATTTATTCATTTGTATTATTGTAATATATATGTAAAACAACTGCTATATTCTATGACCGTCAGAGCAGACTCATTCTGTAGCTTCCTGCAGTTCTCTCATTGACTTGGTTCCTCTTGTTACCTGTTTTACCTTTCTCCCTCTTTCCTTCTCCCATCTCTCTTCTTCTGATTGGTGTCAGCTAATGTCAGAGCCAGCCTATGGCTTCGTCCTGTTCGATTACATCACCGGTAACCTAGAGGGACAGACAGACAAGCGGCAGCTGCAGTAGTCAGACAGAGGGTGAGGGACAGAGCCAAAGAGAAAGTGGAGAGAGAGAGAGACTGAATGCATGAGAGTGAGATAATCATTGTGGAGGGACAAAGGAGACAGATGAGGTAAATGCATGGTGAGAGAGCATGCTGACTATATAACAAGGCTGGCCAAAATTCTTTCTGCTGGTGGTGCTAGAGGAAAAAGTCAAGGAAACACAGAGTCATTAGACTATGTTCTCTGGGGACTGTGAACGCCTGTGCAAAATGTCATGGAAACATATCCAACAGTTGTTGAGCTATGGAGTCTGTGGAGTGACAGACAGACCGACATGGCCAACCTTGGAGCCACAGCATGGTTTACAGTTCTAATATGAGTTGTGATGGGCTGAGCTGTTAACCAGTTTACTTTCACTGTTACTGACCTACACTATGTAGTGGTGTTTCCACAGATGTAATGGTTTTGGCAGTGGTCTGCTTGTGTATTGTGCATGTGTGTGTATCAAGTATTTTGTGCGACTTGTGCATTTTTCTCTTGTACGCTCAGTGATGTTATTTTATTTTACAGGCTGATGAGAACCCATTATCTGAACAGAGTGTGGCCCAGGTAACTCACACACATGTGTAAATGACACTGATAGAGTTGCACATACATGTATATACAGTAAATATACACTACATACAGACAGGTACACACATGTCACATATATGGTGAATATTGATTTCATGCACCCATTATTTCCTTGGAAGCACAATAACATTTTGTCTTTTAACTTCCTGTCTACTCCAGAACTGTAAACATGTCACATCGCTGCTTGTGACCACTACATGTGAGAAATCTAGCAAACATATGACAACTTGTATAATGTAACATACATATTATAATGTCAAAGATCTCCAGAGGTGGAGGAAAATAAGAAATTATTTTCAAAAGCAGCCTGACAACCACTTACCACTAATCAGATAGCTCAGTAGTTCTACAGAACGCCGGACCAGATGGGTAGATTTAATCTTTTTATCGAGTTGTTCCTGCTGCTGTTATTAGTCAGGACCGATCAGAATGTGTTGGTGGGTGTGGCTTCATAAAAGATAAGGCTGGTCATTTTCTGTAAGCACTCCCGTGCAGAAACTAGAACCAACAATGATTTGTTTCTACTCACAAATAATGCATGTCAGCCTGTCAGAACTGGATTAACTTGTTCATCTGTACCATAGACCTCCACTGTTAATCAAAAGCAATTAATAACAGGGAAACACACCGCTGCACAGGTTGACATGTTTCCTCATTACAAAACACAAGGCCCTAATATTTTTTAAAAATGTTGACCCAAAGGCTTTGAACAGCCATAACCTTTTACAGCATCTGAAGTAAGTAACAGTCGAGGGTCCATGCACAAGTTCTCCGGATATTCTTAACAAATATCAGGGTCTTATGTTTCGGAATGAGGAAACATGTCACCCAGTGCAGCAGTGTGTTTTCCTGATGTGTTTGTAATTGTTTTTGAACAGCAGACGAGGTCTATAGGTAGACGTGGCTCATTGTGGGTTTTATTGACAGCTAGATTCATGCAGTGATGTCTGCTGCATAGAATCATTTAATGACTGAAGCCAGCAAAACTGCCTGTCAAACAGGTACTATAATTAGAGCTTGGCACCCTGGAGACAAACGCCATTTTGGCTGTTTGAAGAGACATGACTCAAATAAACACTACTGTAAAATAAGTTGGTCATAATGATGATGTGTCCTCATCTTAAAAAGAAAAGGGTTCTTCTGCATGTCCTTGTCACAGCTAATGACAGAGCTCTGCCCTCTGCTGGACAACACTGAAGTGCAATACACCTCATTCGTTGTGATTTGATTTTAAAGTGGCATGGAAAATTTGTCACAATGAAAAACAGTCTGTTCAGTTATTTAAGACAAATGGCTATATAATTATGATTTAATCCTTTTCAAAATTTAACTATGGCAATTACATACAAACGCAAAAACAAGTAGCATACAGTATGTATGTATGTATTAAACACACCATTACCAGTAGAAGGTACTAGGAAAGTATGCATTAAAGGAATGTCATTGGACAGTCCTGGCAGATGTTACATGCAATGCATTATGGTTGTTGTAGGATTTTCTGCTTTGGAGCATCAAGGAAATGAACTATTAGTTTTCTCAGTTTTCTCTCACTATAAGGCAACAATTTTACAAATTAGCCTTGTGGCACATCACAAATGAAATGGAGGTCTTGTTGCCAGTGAAGTGGACCAGAAGTTAAAAGATAAAAATAAATGTAATGAGCAAACTGTGTGGGCTGCATGAGGTCAAAAAAGCTTGCATGCAGACACACACACCCTCTCACAGATAGACAGGTGTGTGTGTGTGTATGTATGTATGTGCATATATATATATATATATATATATATACACACACACAGTGTAGTATTAATATTTGCCACCTAACATACAGTGTTGGGCCTACACATATAGTAAATCCTGCAGCAGAAACACGCACGTGCATGTTCACTCTGCAGTTGCTGCTAGCATTGCATGTTAGCAATGATTATCAGTAAAATCTTTATTTTATTTATTTTAATAACACTCCATCACATTTGTTGCTTCACAATGCAGTAATTTCTTTAACTAAATGTTTTTTTAATATGCTTTCTTCTGGTGATATGCTGATATGCTTCTCTTTATCTGTTGCATTAACCGTCACAGCACATAACAGAGAAACTGGCTCTGACCTCTAACGTAAGTCTTTACTAACTTCACAAAGCCTATTCTGCTTTAGCAATGCATAACATTGTGGTCAACCACATCTAGGCATGATAAAACTTCAACAAGAAATCACCAAACCAAAGAAATCAACAAGACTATATCACTAATGGGACAATGATGACTTTTAAAAGCCACAGTGATGAACATCTCCAGAACGAGACTGATGACATTACACTCATCAACGCAGCACTGCACTGTTGTGTGTTGTTCACTGGTGGTGGAAGTATTCAGATATTTAATTTATTTGTAATATCCTATTATGAGTTGTAATTTTGTATTTAAAAAAACTGCATCTGTAAAGTAACTTTAAAGCCATCAACTAGTGAAGTAAATACATATATTTCAATCTGCACTGGATACTGACACGCTCAAGGAAAGTATAGGACGCACCAACCCAACAGTGGAAAAACAGTAAACAGATGAAAGTGGAGAACTCTGCATGGGCCTGATGCAACTTCATTTCTCAGGATTCCATCCTGCAGTGAATGTCCTGGCCTCTATGCGCCACCTGCTGTCAGAATGGGGAATGGACAGCAGCCTTAGTGCTGAAAAGAGGTCTGGGTTTAAATTGAAGGACAGGGGAGTACACCAACAGTGGCCAGTTAGTGTTGGTCAGAGGAGGAGAGAGATGATCACCTCTGCCTCTCACCAAAAAAGTGAGACATGGACACTTGTGGGGTATTTAGACCATGATGAAATAATTCAGCAGTTATTAGAAATAGGAAAGTTCCTTTCCCTGTGAATATGAGTAAAATATAATGAATGAAATGGTTCTGAGAATGATGTTAGTCCACACAGGCTGACCGACTGTGCACACTGTTGAACAGAAATTACAAGGAGGTTCGAATCTTGGTGCCTGCAGTCCACATGTCAAAGTCCTGGGGCAAGACACTGAACCCCAAATTGCCCCCGATGGTTAGAGCCATCGGTGTGAGTTGGTGCTGCAGATGGCTGCCTCGGTTCTGAAATAAATTCCTTGTGTGTAACATACTTGGCCAAATAAAGATGATCCTTACAAGCTGTTCAGTAGTACTTCAGATTACACAGTTGTTAAAATTAGCTCTGCCTTTACCAACTGCAACATTAGATGTCATGAACTCAATAATGCACCAGTAATAATAATCCAATAATATGATGTACATTAATATGAAATGTGCCATTTGGTATAATGAGGACTTGTGGTACTTGAAGTATATCTTGTTAAGTAACTTTTTGAATGAATGACTTTTACTTGTAAAAGATTATTTTTACATTGTGGTATTGTTACTTTTGCTTAAGTAAAGAATTTGAGTACTTCTTCCACCACTGACCTAATGTAAATGTTACAGTTTACAGTATATCATGTTGTGCTACTTCAACATGGTGATATGAACCGGCACGTTGCTGCCTGGTCGTCTGACCTCTAGTGGTTGATCCTTAGTACTGCAACATTATACAAGTCTGTTCTTGAAACATTTATTGGAATTAATAGAACTGTCTCCAAATATATGTTTTATCTTTAGCATGAATACTGTATGAAAAACAACAACGTGTAAACAAAACTATACTGGTATTTCAGGGTTTTTTCACCTGAGCTGAGCATGCAATTGCTTAAAACCAACGATCATTATGAAAACAAATATATTTAATGAGTCATAAATGATATGTTGAATTGAGGTGCATTATTATCATTATTGTTGTTGTTGTTGTAAAGCAGTTGTATGCCATTCAAAGAAAACAAATTTCAAAATGATCAGTATTGGCTATCTGTGAATAAGCCCATTATAATGATGTAGAGTCAGTGTACCTGACATGCACAACAATTTTCTTTAGAAAATGCCTTTGTAGTTTATACTTTACTACATTATAATGAATTTTTATTATTTTGCTAAGATGCTGTATTATATGTTTTAATTCTTTGTTTTTTCCAGGTTCTGCAGTCAGCCAAGGAGCAGATCAAATGGTCCATACTGAAATGACTTCAGCCAGAAAATTTTAAGATTATTAGCAAAGGTTCCCAAAGCTATTTTTATAGGAATAGACTAAAGGGACAGTTGTTACAGGCCTGTCAGATAGTAGGCTATAGCGATTACCCGGTCAGCAATAGGATATTGCTTGTGCAGTGACATTGAGTTGCATTGTGTTAGATTAATTTATCTGGTTTGAGAGTTGCGTGATCGGGTAGAAGTTGCATTTACATGAAACAGACCAGATATTCAAACAGGTTTTACAAATGAAATGTAAAGACTGAAGAGTTCAGCCGTGCTTCTGCACAAGACTGGCCAGTTACCAAATACCAAACTAATCAATGAAAACACGTGATCAGTTTTATTACTTTTCTTTTGGTGGAGCAGGATCTTCCACTTATATTTCCTCAACACATGATTGTAGGCTTTATTCGGGCTGCTTTGCACATTGGTGATTTACACAGTTTTATACACGAAAGTTTTGTTTTCCATAAAAATGCTACACGTTTGAATAATTTTGGAACAGTTGTTATAAAAACTATGCTGCATCCTGTAAAATGTTACTATTTGTGTGTTTGTATCGCCTTGTGAGTGAGTAGTTTAACTAAACATTATCATCAGTAAAGCTAAGCTGGAAAAAAGAACTGACACAAACACTACTTCTGCACATCTCTGCCAATTCTGACATTGTTCATGCACTGAATGTTGTAGTTTAATAAAGTCTTTATGTTCTGACTGTATGTAGGTGCCTTATAGGGATTGCAAACTGATGAGAAGTGTAGTAATACTATACGATACTAAGCAAATGTTACCAGTCTGTGTGAGATAATATGATACTGGCAATGTGTGACTTGCTGTGACATGAAGATAAATTAATAGCTATGTTGATCTTTATAATCAATGGGACCTCAAAGAATATGCAGGGTTTTGTGGCCAGAATGGGAAAGCATAGTGTCTACATTATTGGTACAGTGCGAGTTAAACATGGTAAATGATATTAAATATCTGTAATCTGAAGAAAAAAAAAAAGAAAAAAGCCAAAGACATACTAATTATTTTGTTTATACTTAAATGTTACTGAACCAAACTAAGTGTCAATTTGTCTGTCTACCATTTGTGAGACTTGCAGTAAAACTCTATTTGAAGTCTGTTTCCTCTTTGTTTGTTTGTTTCTAATTCAGTATCAGTCAAACAGTTGTCTGACAAAACGTTAAAATACTGTCGATGGCAAAAGCATAACTCGTTTGTTCAAAATCCACATCCTGGTAAATATTAATGAGAAACTCAGAGCTGTGGGTGTGGTCAGTGGTGTTATTGGTAGAAACCTGGTGACGTCATGAGTCATGTGCTTGCACTCCTCCAGCCAATGGTTCGTTCAGGTTTTATTTCCCAGTAATGCGATTGGTTTTCTGCCTCCTCCTTTCACAAATAGGCCCCTGAACACATGACGGACATGAAAACTAGAAAAGCACAGAGAGGCAGTAAGTAGAGTGTATGACCGCAGGAAATAAGAGCCGTGGCTATGGGTAATATTCATTTATTTATCCTCAAAACTCTCAAACCACATGATCAAAACTTAATTTACTCCAAAAACCTGTAACATTTCTTTAGAAGCTGATTTAAACTTGTTATTATAAACCTAATTTTACAAAGGATCATTATATACGAAGTGTGGTAGTTTTCATCATAGAACCAGCATTTTATATGGTCTAGGCACAGCTGGATTTGTTAAACCGGCCTATTAGGACTCAAACTCTGCGCTACTGGCTTCAATACTTTTGCACACATATGCATTGTTACAAGTATTTGCACAACTTATTGAGACAGAGTGTAGTTTCTGTTTTTGTTGTCACGCCCTCGTTTGAAACCACAGTAACTGACTGATTTTATTATGATCAACAGGTAACAATGGAGAAACGCAAGGCCAGCCTTGTCCAAGCTCCTGCTGACAAATCAGATTCGTGAACATTTGTCACAGCAGGAAAGTCAATTAAATTTAATAAATGGGCCTATAAAAGTAGGATCGCACTCAATGACAAGATCTTACTTTACAACAACATTATTGGGAGAACGCACTAACTGTTCATGTGCGTGGCGGAACGTAGTGCTCCAGTGGAGATGCCACTCGGCCAGGATTATTAATCATCACATCACATCTTAGTAGCATCGTTCAATAAGAGTTGGACTTGGAGACAAAGTTAAGACAGAGCCAAGATGAAAGAATCATCATAACGACAGACTATACTGCGCCAGGGCGAAAGGATGTTCTGATCAAATCATTTATTTATGATGTTTGACTGGTATTTGAAGTCACTTGGTAGAGATATATGAGAGGCGTTAGCTCTCACTGAGTGTTTGTGACAGGGTTGTGCATAGATACTATTTATATGTAAACTTACATTTGACCCGCTTTTATTATCATAGGTATGATTTAAAGTTGTGTTACTGAAAATGCCCAACAACCCTCATGCATTACAAATTAAGCAAAACAGTCAAACCAAATTGGTCCAAATTAACTGAATACTGAAAACAAGTGGGGCAGACTCTCCTTTCCTTTTCACCTGCCAAGCTTCTCTTATACGGATTCAGATAGATAGTCTAGTTGTATAATTTACCAAAAACAAAAATAACAGAACCACTTTAAGACTTAAATTTTTATTGTATCTGTTGTTACATTCACAGTTTAGTTAAAAGTAGGAGGAAGTTCGATTTTGAAAGTAGATAACCAAAGAAATCCCATCCTTTCCTTCTGAACAGTTTGATTCAGTGTGGAGAAAGCAACCACCTCCTACCTTTATATGTGCACCATATAGCAGTCTGAGAGTGTGAGAGTTTCTCAGTGTGTTGTTTGATTTTTGGGAGGGGGAGATTATGTTTTAGCGACATCATTAGAGAGATGTGTACAGGCAGGAGGTAGAAAATGAGCAAGTATGACTGAGAGCTTATGAGGAGGTTGACATGAAAGTTGTTTTTTGGGCCTTACACTGCACATATGGAAAAGGTGTTGATTATCTCAAGAAGGACACCCATCTGTTAGCTTCGGAGATCTGTTCAGAACTCTGGATTTTATGACGGCTGGATGGTTTGCAACTGACCCTGCAGGAATAAACTCCAGTTTCAGACCCTGTTTGACACTGGAGTCATTTTAAATATGTTTTTTCACTAACATATCTGGCATAGTTTATATCGTCCTCAAAATAACTATACTCTAATGAAATCTTCGGGCCCAGTATGTGCCTGGGTCCTCAGGCTGGATCTGGCCCATACACTTCAGTTCTGTGCTGATTCTGGCTGTTATCCTCTAGTGTTGCAGGAAGATATTCTGTGTGTGCACAAGGAACAGGCCAGACCAAACAGTCATGCTGTATGTGGGCCGGACTCTGACTGAGGAACTACTGAGCCAGAAGAAAAAACAAAGGGGGCCCAAATATTCCCCCAAAATTTCTCCCTGGGGAGTAGTATCTTCATACACACTTGTGTTACAGTACAAATACAAAAACCTGAATGATGGCACTGGTGTTTTTTTGTTTGTTTGTTTGTTTTTTACATGTGCAGCAGGCAAACAACATGACAACATTGTATCTAATGTTAAGTGTGTGAGGCTGCCTCTGTGCTTTTACTGTTGAAACTCTGCTGTCAGATGACGTTTTTGGACACAGATCCATATATAACCTACGGTATTATGACGGGTTTTCAACCAGTGGTCTGCGGCCCCCTGGTGGTCCGTGAAGTCATTGCAGGAGGTCCCTGACCATGCATTCAGTAATGCATTGTAGTTTCACTGTAGGAATCTTTAGAAAAAACATTTCCATGTATTACTTATGGTTTGTGAATAATCTAATTCATGCAAATATATAACATTTAGAAAAGCCCACGTGACATTCAAGATTAAAAAAGTGCCCATCTGGTTTATCCATCCCACAACAGTGCTCCTCAGGTTATTTCTTAGTCAGGTTGGTAGTCCCAGGGTCACAATTAGTTGAAAACCCTCATACCCCTGGACACATATTTTCTACCCCAGTGCTAAATATTAAAAAATGGCTAAGGACTGTAAATTATGAAAAGTATTATTATAAAGGTGTTAGAGAATGAGTGTCCTCTTTTGTCTGATGATAAAAAATTTTTGTGAACATGTGTTTGTTTAAAAAAATTACTAATGTGCTGCCATAGCCGAAGAGGAGAGGGCAGTGGAGAGGAGTCACACCTAAAGTCATATGTTCATTTATAATCATAGGAAATATTTAAGAGTGTATAGATCATTTTTATAATAAAAGACAAATTATCATCACAAAGTTTTGTGTTTTTCTAGGCTGCAGTGATGGAAGCCTGTGAAAACAAAAAGAGTCAGAGATTAAACCAGGAACCATTTAAAACACAGTGTTGATCATCATGTAGCTGTAGACTTCCTCAGTTTGTTAGAAACTTGGCTTTATAACCAGTGACCTATAGAAAACCTGAAACAGCACAATGATTTGACTGCACTACAGAAATATCTGTTTATTATTTATCACATTAATGCAGACTCTTTTGTCCCTGTCAGGATCCTGTAGGGATGATCCCTCAGTTTTTCTAGTGATCTGATAGGTCAGTGCTCAGGCTGTTATCAGGTTTTGATCCAATGCTCTGAAGTTAACCGGCTGCGGAGCAGGTTAGCCATGCAGCATAAGTTACCATGGTGATCTCGCCCGATTAAAAGTGAACAAGCTTCGTGGAACTGGAAAACCTGAGCTGAGCCCATAGTTATCTGGATAACTCAACAATCCCTTGTCATGGGTCAGGACCCTGTTCTTCAAATGTGATGTAACCTTCCTAGCATGCAGTGCAGCAATAGATTCATGGACATTAGTCTCATTGTGTTTCTGAGTTTATATGGGTGTCATTTGTCCTATATTGTGCTTCACAATGTTTCTATATGTACACTTTCATCATAGTCAGACTGCTAATATTTAATAATCACTGAATAGTTAGACCATGAGTATGCTAATGTTGGCACATGAATAGTGAGATTCATCCTAACAAATATACAGTGCAAAAAGCTTTTAAATCACAATCATATGCCTACTATGAACATGAAACCTTTATAAAGACTGGAGAAAATCAAGCGAGTTCTGCAGTTAAACATTAAACAAGCACTGGTATTGAAATGACAAATTCATGTTACATAGAATGTCATATTCTGTAGCTTACTTTGTCTTTTAATATCCTTTTTAGTTTATTTGATCTTTTTGCTGACAGTGTCTCAAAATCTGGATTTGTTCTTAGTTTTATCAATAAGCATGCACATTTGCAGGTTTGGGTTACAGACTTGTTGCTCAGAGAACAGCTTCACTTGGTCCAGTGTCTTTATATGAATAACAAGGTCCAGGGTTCGTTACATCCAAGACTTAGATGAAAGACAGAGCCTGCTGAAATACGGAAAGGTGGAAAATATGTGCTCAGAGAGAAAATGAACAGTTGGCATTTGACTTGGTGCTGACTCAACAGAAAGAAATAACATCATCATCACCTCTCAGATGGTTGTGTTCACCAGTGCAAGTGTATGTACAGAGAGGGGAAACACAGCTTTTTATACAATAGGTCTGCTGCTATGTTCTGTCTAAAATGACTCACCCTGTTTGATTTGGCTCTCCATTCCAACAGGTCTTTTAGTGTGTGTGTGTGTGTGTGTGTGTGTGTGTGTGTGTGTGTGTGTGTTACTCAAGGGGGTCATGTGGCAAAGGTCTTTCATTGGGAAGGCATCACCTCATCACTGAGAAATAAATGATAAAAATATACTTTGCTTTCTGTCAGTTTGTGCCTCTACTTCATCTTTGTCTTACCAGAGAGCACCTGTCAATCAAACAGCACATAGACAAGACTTTTCTGTTGACTGCATCCACTGCTGATGTCTTTCTCTCTGTCACAAAAGACATGCAGTGGTCAGATAATCCTTTTCATTGTTCTGATATGCCTATGTGCCTAATGCATTGCTGGCCTTGTTTATATACTGCACTAATAGAGGCACGCTCTCCGCCACTGGCTGGAGAGAACTGACATACAGCAGATGATTGGCCAGGGATATGACAGTGATAGATTGGCCTGCCACTGACTGGATAATTAAGGTGTGATGTCAGTGAAAGTGGGCTGGGCATGAGTAGGGAAGAGAGACAA